ATAAATAAACGTTAAAAAAAAATTAAAAAAAAAAACAAAAAAAAAACAAACACTTGTTGCAGACCGTTCTTTCCACACTGTATTGTCTTGGCCCCTGTGTGGAAAATTGATCGGCCATAAACAGGGCTGATTTCTGGACTCTGAATTCAATTCTATGCCATTGATTCCAAATATCTATTCTTAGTAAGCCTCCCTTTTGAGTCAGTAACAGAGCAGAGGCTAAAAAACTCATCCTGGACTGTTCGCGCAAGGAGCCAGCGGGGGGTGATGCACCCAAGAGCCTGTTCTGGGGCAGGTGGCCTTTCGGGGAAGAGAAGGTTCGAAGATGGGGGTGGGGGAGATAAGGAACACGAAAGGGTGTTCCTGCCCCTGCTCACCCCTCCTGGGGTAGCAGTTGTCGGCCCGCTGTCCACGTTCCCGTGCAGCCCTGCCCTGGAGGCCCCAGGAGGCATGGAGAGGGAGGGCGAGCGAGAATGTGGGTGCCTTACACCGCAGTTAGGAGGGAGCCAGCACCCTCCCAGCCCACCCCGCCTGCTGGCTCTTCAGCTGCCTGCCTGCCTCTGCACTTCACATTTGCCCGCTGCCTGGAGGAACACGACGCTGAGCTTCCACTCACACCAAGGCCAAGGGCATCAGGGCCCAAGATAGCCAGGCTACTGAGTCCTGGAAAGCACACTTGGAGTAGAGGGAGAGGAGGGCGGGCAGATGTCCAGGCTCCCCCTTCCCCCGCTGTCTGGGTGGGTAGTGTGGGAAAGGCGGGGTGAGGATGATCCCCTCAAGTCCCTTCCCCACCGAAGGCAGGATCTGCAAAGCTGCTGGGATCGAGGGAGGGGAACGCGCCTGGGAAACCTGAGAGGTGACAATTTCACAAACGGCCCGGCCGGGCCACTGCAGCTGTGGCCTCTGATCACAGGAAAGCAGACACGCTGGAGGAGGGGCAGGGGCGTGCAACACGGGGCACAGGGACAGACAGCCTCCCTGGTAGAGTCAAACACACTTTATTCGGCACGAGAACGTGTGAACAGAAGGGCCTCCGGCAGGGTTCCGGACAAAGAGCTCTGAGGCAAACCCTGCTGTAAACAGAGCAAAGGGCATCATGTAAACCACCAGCCCGGAGGGGAGGGAATCTGCACAAAGTCGGGGCAGGTCACACTGGCCAGCACATGGTGAAGCGGGGGTGGGTGACCCATGCCCAGGAGAGTCGTGAGCAGCTCTAAGTAACTCAGAAAAGCCAGGGTAGGAGGAGGGCAGGGGCCTGGCCAATTCAGGGGATTATCTCGACCACTGAGGGCCACGGGGTTCGATTTGGCTGAAGCAGCCCGGGCTGCTGTGCCAACACATGATTACAAGGCCCTGAAAGCCACAGCCTGGCATGGGGGGCACAGGAGAGGTGGCCCTTGGGGGTGCTCACCATCGGCCCACAGGGCAGGGCTCTCACAACCAGGTGTACTGTGGCCCTGGCGGTCGCCTCCAATCAGCGAACTGTAAATGGCACCGACCTTCTCTGCCCAGGACCCCACTCCCTTGACTTGGGACCCCAGTGGAAGTGGGGAGGGGCAGTGGAGGGCTGAGCAAGGCAGGTCCGAAGGCAGAACCACCTCTGATGACTACAGTCTTGCCCTCGAGACTCACGATTAGGGGTGGGGAAAGGTTGTGGGGTCTGCACCCAGAAATAGCCTCTGTCTGAACCGTGTGCCCGGAGGGCATGCTTGTGGCAGGGCCCGCACATGGCCTGAGAAGCAGCAGCCAACCACAGCAGGCAGCCAGGACCTCTGTTTGGGTCACTCCCTGCTGTGCTGTTACACCGGGTACAAACAGGAGCAGGGGGAAGGAGGGGATTCTGGGAAGGAGGAGGAGAGGGTGCGGGTTAGGGAGGTAGTGTTGGGTATACCCTGGGACTCTTGGGAGTGACAGGGAGAAGCCATGCACGACGGCACAGCTGGGTCCAGCTAAATTCCCGAGTAACAACTGCTCTGAAGGCCAGAGGGATAGGCAGAGAACAGAAGTGCCCTCTTCCTGGACCCGCCCCTGCTAACCCAAGAGTGGGGTATGTTCAAGAGCACCCCTATCCCCAACCAGTGACTAGCATGGCAGGAACAGGAGGCTCCAAGTCTGAGTGTGGATGTGAAAGGTGCTTCTTCCATGGGCTTTGGGCTCACACGTAAAATGCAAACTTGCTCACCACCAGGGGACAGAGGAGAGGCTGTCTTTGGCTGGACAGAGGCTGGGAGGGCGAGGCCGGTGCCCAGTAGGTGTGAGTGACAGCCAGAGCCCAGCTTCTCTCTAGAAAATCACTATACTACACAGGAAGTTGGTGGCGGTGGGGGACCCAGGGAGGGCTGGATCTATCTAAATGACTCACAGATGGGAGGGTGGCTGGGATGACACAAATGCCCCGATACCCAGGGATCACAACCGACAGGCGAGAGGAGCAGAGCTAACAGCTGTGGAGGGAGGGGGGGCGGGAGGGAGGGGTGGCCTGTGGTACACAGCCCTCCATGGGGCTCACTCATCAAACTTCCCTTCCCGAATGTGCTCAAAGGAGAAGGGTAGGAACTTGAAACCGGTTCCGCTGTAGAATTTATTCTGGAACTCGACCCTGGGGAAAGGGAAAAAGAAAGTCGTCATTCCACAAAATCCTTTTGGGATTTCACAGTTGGGCTAGAAAGATGCTCTGATGCTCCTCCCCTCATTTTCCTAGCTGAGCTCAGCCTTCAGCCGCCCACCAAGCCCCGGCCCCTGCCCGCTTCCCACCGTGCACACAGGCCCCACTTCTGCAGCCAGGGCCTGCCCCAAACCTGCCCTGGGCGAGAGTGCAGAACATCTCCACACTGGTTTGTCCTCAATTCTCACTCTGTCCTACCGAGCAAGAGTGTTTCTGCAAAACTCTGTCTAGCCATGTGCTAAATGATTGGCTTGGGTCTCTAACGACAACGAAGAAGTGTCCCCTAAACACCCCCCTCCTTGGCAGGGGCTCCCAGTAGACCTCTCTGAGAAGCCCCTGGGAGGCAGGAGCTCTGGCAAGCACCCTTGTTTGTTTCTTTTCTTGCTGGAGGAAGGAGAAGGGAGGGTTGCGAGTAAACGCTGGGCAATGGGCGCTTTAGAGGAGGAAATTCCCAGGAAGGGGGGGGGGGGAATCAGGAGGGGAAGTCTTCTCCAAGCAATGGCCAAAATATTCTCCAACTACAAAAACATCTGAGAATGAATTCTTCTCCCAGGGGCTGAAAGGAAAAGCAGAGCTTCACCTCCCTTCCCAGGCAGCTCAGGATCCATCCCCAATGGTCTCCCTGGGGCCCCTTCAAACTCTGAGGGGCAGGAAGACTGCGCTCCCGGCAGCAGAGCCAGGCTCAGCCCGTGCTTCCCCCTGCACACTCCCTGGATGGCTGCCCAGCAACCAAATCACCACCAAATATGGGCAGAAAAATGCATGATTCAGAGGACAAAAAAGCCAAGGAGAGCTGCCCTGAGGAATAGTTTCCACTCAGTACAGTGTGCCCCTGGGGGCACCAGAGCCCCCACAAGGACAGGCAGAGCTGGGGGCGGGGGCGGGCTTCAGGCAAGGGCTCTGGTGCAGGGCAGGGCTTCATCCTGCCTCCAAACCAGGGGTGGGGGTAGGGGTGGGGTGCCTGCACTTTGGAAGGGCTGTCTGCAAGCAGAGGTCCTCAGAGGCCCCGTCGGCCCTGGGGTGCTGGCTGAGAACACTGGAGCTGCCAGCTCCACCCCCTGGGGACAAGAGGTGAATAGAATTTTCTGCGTGGGTGTAAGAACAGGCAGCCTTCTCCTCCCAGCCCCACATTCCACAGGCTGGGCCCAGGTCCCCAAGCCTCCTGGACTCTGGAGAGTTCCCTGGGCCAAGCCCCTCAGGGAAAAAGGATCTGGGGGAGGGGGCTTCAAAACTGAAGTCAGTCCCAGGATTCCCAGCAAGAGCGATTCCAAACCAGGATCTGGACTCGTCCCCATATCCTAACACCCAGAGAAGTCCTACAAGCTACAGCTACTCAGGCCTCTGTTGTGGGAATTAGGTCGGTTCCCACTTCTCACCCGCTGCTGCTGGGCCCGAATGCTTCAAATGCTTCGTGCTGGGTAGGCTGTTTGCATATGGGAAGGGCATTTCTGAACAGCTAAAAACAGCCTCACATCCCATTTGCATTCAACAATATGTAGCCAGATGGTGGGTAAGTCACCTTAGGGTCTATGAGGAGATCCCCTGGCTGGCTAATCACACAAACAATTCAAATTCCAAACTGGCCGAATGAAGTAGAAGCGTCAAAAATTTTCAGATGCCCATGGGATCACCATCCTTCTCTTGCCATTCCTCTGTGCGCCTCATCTATCCCTGGGGCCCAGTGGGTAGGAAGGGGGGCACGTGTCCAGGGCCATCTTGGGCATCTCGGGGTCAGCTTGACGTCACCTCCCTGCTCAGCCTCGCTCACCCCATCCTCCCAGAACAAAGTTGGAAAGCAATCTCCCTGTCGGGCTCCCCGCCCTCTTCTCCCTCCCAACCAGGGAAATGTGTGCTTCCTGAGAAAGTACAAACACAAAGTTCTTTGCGCTGGGGCCCACAGGGCCCTGCTGGCTGTCCTGCAGGTCCCTCCTATTTTAAGGGCCTGTTATACTACTCAGGGAGCCTCCAGGGCCCCAAGTCACTGAAACGTACCTCTAGAATTCCACAGTTGGGAGGAGGGCCTCAGGAAGTCGGAAGGGTTTCTGTGTCACCCCTTCCAGCTCCAGGACCTGGCAAAGGCCACCCAGTGACCCAGAAGGGTAAGTGGGAGTCCACAGAGCATTCATTCCTGCTATGTAACAGGAAACCTTGTTTCCTTGAGTGAGGGAAGGAGAAAGGAGTCCTGGGCCTCCTCCCTTTCCTGGCAGGGTTGTGGCTGAAAGGAAGCAGTTTCAGAAAGAGGATTCTGGGCTGAGCCGCTTCACTGGCCCTTTCTGCCACTCTCTGAGTAGTCTGGGGCCTGGCACACATATCTATCTGATGGCCCAAATGTCAAGGCAATAATGGCAGCCAGGAACTCTACTTCAGGCGTTCCTACTTCTCCTGGGCCAGCCATTCCTGCAACCATCCCATGGTGTCCTGCTGTGGCCCCACTACATTCCTTACAGCAATTTGGTCCCCATTTTCCTTTGGCCTTCAACCAATCTGTGAGTGTGCAAGTGTGCACATCTATACATATGTGGAGTTTGCTAGATAAGAAGGGATTAGGTTCCTGAAGGTAGGCCATGGAGCAACAGTCTTTCTACTAAAGTCAGTTTGGTGTCCACAGTTGCAACTACAAATCATATTCCCTACCTTTGCCTTTTCTGAGAAAGAAAAGACAGCTAATTATAGTAGGCAAAAATAGACGTGTAACACAGAAGGCAACAGAATTCGGTTGGTAAAGTAACCTGTTCACTAATGTTTTCAAATATATCACCCACCACCTAAGGACCCTACATGAATCTCACTAGTGAGATTCTGTTTGTTACCAAAGCAGATGTTGTTTTTCTTGTCCTCACTGAAGACATCCAAACCTGTAAAATGGGTAGCCCTTACATCAGAATCAGGAAACCCCAGCTGACGACCAGGAGTAAAGTGACAGGCTGGAAGATGCCCAGGCCAGACACCAGGAAAAATAGCAGCAATGTCCCTGCAGCCACTTGCAGCAGGACCAGCTGTCCCGTCTCACAAGATGGCCACAACTCAGAATTCCTGCAGTCCTGGTGGACTGGAAGACCTGGGAATCCTTGCAGCACATCCTCATTCGGCCAGAAGGGGGAGCATGAGCACTCGGGTCACTCACCTCCTTTCACTAAGGGCGATTCTCCAAATAAGCCTCCAACGATGGGATTCTGAAAGCTCTATAAAGGAGTTTTGCTGTTTGGTTTTTTTCCTCCTCTATGCGATCCTTCCACTACCCAAACAACAAACCTACAAGTTTGTTGATGAGCCTGTTCTTGAAAACTACAGGCATTCAGATGTGCCTCCCCCTGGGGTGTCCCCTCCCTCTCAACAGACTTAATGCAGTTTCTTTAGAAGGGACCACAGCCAAGATGCCCTCCCCACAGGGCACCCCACTTTTAAGCAGGGTGGCTGTGACCCGCACTTGAACACCAGTTTACGATGTGTCTGGGCACGGTGACAGTCGCTTGGTATATGCATTAATTTCATAATTATCATGGCAACCATGTTACATGGATACCCTCCTCTCTGCATATGAGAGAAACTGAGGTTCAGGGAGGTAAGTGCTCTCCTCAGGGTCACCCAGCCAGATCCAGCAGAGCTGGAATTCAAACCCAGTGGTGCCTAATTCTAAATGAAGTCTGCTCTCTTGTCACTCATCAGGTCTTTGGGCTCACTGGTGAGGACATGAGAAGACACCTTCACCTGAAGGCCACAGGTGAGCCCGAGGAAGAAATAATCCTTCTGGCAACAAAACACGACCTCCCAAGCTGCCTCAGCTCACTCTGGAAAGTAGCCCCAAGCCCAGGTGACCTTCCTCACCCTGGGGTATGCTCAGCTCGCTGCTTAGACGGTTCTGACCCAGCACCTTGACTGCTCCCCAGCCCGCCCAGGGAGGAGGCAACAGGCTCCCCACTTGGGCTGGAATTCAGGTGGGGTAGTGACTGGCCCCTCAAGCCCAGGGCTCAGGAGACAGAGAAGTGACCGGGAAAGGAAGGAAGAAACAGTGAGTCACCACAGGCTGGTTACACAGACATTCCCTCATACCGAGCAGCTGAGGAAGTGTGCTGGGGAGAGAACGCTGATAAGCTGAGAACAGGGTAGCGTGCCAGCAGCCTGAGCCACACAGCGCTCCTAACCTCCTGGTTGGACAGTAAATAAACAACAGCTGGGTGGGGAGGAGGGCGGCAAGGAGGAGGAAAGCCAGACAGAGAAAGAATATTGACCGACGTAGCAGGACGGGTTCTTTAAAAGGAGCTTTTGAGGGAAGGGTAAGTCCCAGCTACGGCCTGTCCTTACATGCCTCCCAGTACCCTCTGTCATTTACAACAGCAAACAGGAATTTTTTAGGGGGCTCAGAATAACCAAGTCAGGAGAAAAGTCAAAGAAAAGGGGGTTGGGGAAGACGATCCTTGGGTTCAGGTTTAGAAAACTGATGTCACGAAAACTTCCACGCCCTGTCTGAGCTTGAGATCACTAGCACCACACAGATTGTCTTGTCTACGGGTCCTAATGTAGGGCCAGTGAGTTTGTGACCCCCTAAATGGGTAAAACTGCTGTGGGGGATGTTTTTCTAGGGAGAGGGTCCAGAGCTTCCAGAGCTTAAGGTAGGGAAGCCAGATAAAGTACCGGATGCCTAGTTTTTAGCACAAATATGTCCCATATCCATGTCCCAATGCAAATTCATTGTGTATCTGAAATTCAAATTTAACTAGGTGTCCCGGAATTTTATTCACTAAATCTGGCAACGCTAACTTGAGGTCACAGGGTCACTGCCTGGACCAGACGCCAGCTCTCCTACTCCCTGGGGCTGAGCTGGCTCTCTCTGTGCAGAGCCATTAAGAGCCACAAATTACATTAAAGAAAACAAACAAATCCCAAACCTGCCCTTGTGAAGGTGCTGCTTCAGTGAACTGAGCTCCACATTATGGAACCAGGAATCCCCCTACCTATGTCAACTGCTAGGGGTCTGCCCCAAAGACACTGGCACAATGACAGAACGAGGGGGACAAAACTGGGGTACAGTGTGCTCTAGCACTTTCCTGGACTGCGAATCTACTCCAGAGTTGCTTGCATCGCTCTGAAGACAGGAGAAAGTTTATGCCAAAGGGGAAAAAAAAACAACACACAACCAAACCAACCAACAACCTCAGTCTTTTAGGCCATACTCAAGAGCAGTGAAGAATGCTAAAGGGAGAAGGAATCTGACAACATCCACCAGAGAATTGTCCCTTGGGGGGCTCTGAAAGGCGAGCTGTGCTTTTGTGGGGACACTTCCTGATGCTCACTCCTGACATAGGTCATCGGGCAGAATGATGTGAATGAAAGCAGACACTTCCTAGCGTCTCTGGATTCTGTACAAGAGTAAAGCCACCCTCAGTGCAGCCAAGGACACGTCCGCAGCCCCCGAACTCGCTGTTCCTCACCAGTGTAACCGCAGCGCGTGGAGGAAGGCCGAGAGGCCCTCCATGATCAGGAGGATGGCCACGGTCAGGGTGGCAAAGGCGGCGAAAATGAAGAACAGCGCCAAACCTCCTGCCAAGCTCTTCACGCTGAGGCCGATGTGGATCACCATGGTCCAAAGCACCTCAGACAGCTCTGGGGAATGGGGAGAGACAGGACATCCGGTTCAGTTTGGCAAGAGGTGCTGCGGGCCTTGCATTCTGCTCCGTCATCCCTCTCCTGAAGTGTCTGCGGCGTCGTGGCTTCCTGCAATCTGGGCAGGACCACCGTGCATAGCTAAGTCTGGCAAAAGTGCTGGTCCTCCCATCTGGACATCTTTCTCCTGGGACTCAGGAGTCTGAATAATTCCAGCGCCTTTATGTTATTTCCACTCTATTTAAGCTCCGCATCCGAGAGAGTGCCCAGAGAAGGGGAAAACCTAATTTTCAATCTGGGAGAAACACACTCACGTGCATGAGCGAGGCTGAGGGCCCAGAGCCGCAGGTAAGAGGCGGTGTTGGAGATGCAGCCCAGGCAGTACTCGATGGTGTGGATGGCCTGGTGGACCATGGTGTCCCCAAAGTCAAACTGTTCATGGGACAAAAACCAGAGAGAAGATATAAGGCTGGGAGGGGATGTGCAGAAAGGACGTGATGGTCACCTGGCACTTTGGGCCTGGGCCCGAGCACTAACAGTTACACGGAACAGGAATCCCAGCGTTGAATTCAGGTGGTGTCTTCAGCCGTCCCCAGAAATCCTGCCTGGCTTAGCTCCCCAACTGGATACCCCATTTCCCTTAATACGCTACATTTTAATGACCTACATCTTAATGAGATTCTTCTCTTTACCTCGCTAGGCTATAAGCCCAAGGGTGGAATGTATGCCGAGTTAAGAGCACTCAGAGAAATGGACTGTCTGGACCCAGGACTCTTAGGGCCCTGCTGCTGGGCCTGCTCCAGCCAACTTCCTCTTTATGGCGCCCGAGTGAAGTGCTTTACTCTAAATGAGCCGTGAGAGCAGAACGGCCTCTTCCCAGGCTACACTTCGGCCACCGGCCAACAGGCCAGGAGCTGCTGAGGCAAGACTAAGCCTCCACAGCCACTTCACTCATTATTCCGATAACCTATTGGGAACAAGGTAACCTCCTTTTTCTTTTGTCACTTCTGAAAAGATTACACAGGGAAATTCTGGCAAAAGTTTCACAAAATCCTACAGTTGACTGAGACCAAACATAACATCTATTGTTTTTTCGTATTTGTTTTTCTCACGCTCCCTTTCTCCCAGCTTTCCTTTCAACATCAAAAATTGTTTCCAGAGTGGGGCACCTGGGTGGCTCAGTCGATTGAGCGTCCGACTTCAGCTCAGGTCATGATCTCACGTTTCTTGAGTTTGAGCCCTGAGTCGGGCTCTGTGCTGGCAGCTCAGAGCCTGGAGCCTGCTTCGGATTCTGTGTGTGTGTGTGTGTCTCTCTCTCTGCCCTGACCCCACTCACGCTCTCTCTCTCTCAAAAATAAATAAATGTTATAAATAAATGTTATAAATAAATAAATACATACATAAATAAATAAAAACTGTTTCCAGAGTAAAGGGGTAGGGGTAGAACAAGTTTTCAGGAGTTCATTTGTAGGTCCGCTCCAAGCACAGCCAGGGAAGAATTACTGGCATGCTCTAGAAGCATCAGGCATACTTCAGGCCTCTCCTGTGGCCAGGTGGAGCCATCAGCAGCCACCAGAGAGCAGGAGGCGGGCTCTTCCCATGCTCCTCCCACACAGCCCAGCCTAGAACCCCAGAAGCACAGGGCCTCCCCTTGCCTTCAGGTCAGAGTCTATTTTTTACCAGTTTCTTTCAAGACTCACATGACTCCACTCCCAAAGGACACCAGAAACGTCTTGGGAAATTGCAGGACGAGAGGAGGAGCTGGCTGGTAAAGTGCTAACAGCCCAGGCCCTCAGGGGGGTGGTCAGTGGGGAGAGAGGCCAGCTCCAACACACCACCTTTGGGCGACTACCTCAGTTTCCCTCACCTCTGACCATCTACACTCTGAGTATTTCTGGGCTTTTCTTCTGCAGTAGGTTCTTCAAGCCTCCTAGTTACTCTGAAAACTAAGATAATCCTAGTTACCTCAATCCCAACAGCGTCGCTAAGAGCTCTCCCACCACTGTTGGCCATCACCCAGAACCCATGCTCAGAGGAAGGAAGGGTCCTGGCTCCGAGGGGCACTGGTGTCTGCTCCTAAGAGCTCTACGAAAGTAGGGACTGCCGGGCTTCCTCAGAGCCAGCTCCTTGTCAGCAGTTTTACTCTACCTGGAGTTCTTCCCACAAGAATGCAGAACGTGGAGAAAGCCTCTCTTCTAGACCGTGGGCAAGTTTTCATTTCTATACAATGAGGGACAATGATGCTGAGGTGAGGATTTAGTGAGACATCAGCCAGACACTTAGGAGCCTATCACTGCCTCATGAGTCAGCGGTGACTGAGGAGCAATCGCTGTGGACTCCCTGTCTACACTCCACTCCACCTGCAGGGCCCATCCACTCCTCCTCTCCTGCGCCCTGCCCTCCACCCTCTCTGCCCCGCACACCTGACCTTCCTGGCACCCCCTCCCTTGCCTCCCAGTCGTGAGGTCTAACAGACCTTCTGTGTCCTGACTGAACCTCTGCAGTCTCTGCCACCGTCGCCTTTTCCGCCTCCCTCTCAAGACACTCGCCTCCCCTCAGTTTTCCTCCTACCCCCTGGGTGTTCCTTGGTTCTTCCCTAAATGCTGGAGGGTCAGCCTCAGCTCTTACACCTTTCCTGCAGCGCTGCCACTCAGGGCTTTGACGGCCGCCCCTAGGACTCCCAAATGGACGCCTTCATCTCCGTGTTGCCCATTTCCAACTGGCCGTGCCACATCTCTTCCTAGTGCCACCCAGATTGATTAACTGCTCTCCTCTGACCCCACCACGACTTCTACTCCATGTCCCACGTTTGATGGAGTGTCACCACCAGGGCCCCAGGCACCCAAGCCTGGAAGTCCATCTTGAATCCTCACTCACTCTCACTGCCTACACTCGCTAAGGCCCTGGGACCTGTAGCTCTTTCTTCCTTAATCTCATTATTGGTCCCTCCCTTTCCAACTCCCTGCAAACGCCTCACTTCACTGGAGGCTTCCCAATTGTTTCACGACTCCTATCAGACTAGCTGGTCTCCATGCCTCCAGACTGTGACCCCTCCCCAATCCACTACCTCCCATAACACCCCCATTAGAGCCACGCACATGTGTTGTGACACTTCCGGCTTCACGGTCCCCTGATGGCTCCTTGTTATCCAAACACTTTACTGCGGCTTGTTTCTGCAACCTCCAGGCTCACCTCTCACTGGTCTCCAACTCCTGGCCCTAAGCTCCAGCCAAGCTATGAATTTGCTTATCCCCCAAATGTGATGGGTCCGCAGGCCCGTGTCTTTAAGATAACTATACACACCGATGGGTCTGCATTCCCATCATCCTCCCAAAGAGACTCCTGCTTGACCAGACTAAGCTTAGCGACAATTTCCTTAGGGAATCATTTCCTGGTCTCCTCTTCTCCACTCCCACCCCAGCACCCGTCAGGTGCCCTCTTTCTGTGTTCCCACAGCATCCTGGGCACACCTCAGTCACACCACCTGTCACCCAGACTGTTTCCTCAATTTGTCTGGGAGTTCCTTGAGGGCAAGGACTATGTTTTTCTTCTCGCAGTTTCTGTATACCAAACAGAGTGCTTGACACATAGAGGGTGAATGAATGAATGGGTGGGATAAAAGAATGAACAGATGGATGGATGGGCAGGATGAATGAACAGATGGATGGGCGGGTGCGTGGGTGTGGGGATGGATGGGTGGGATGAATACACCTGGTGAGATGACACAATAGGGAGAGGGGCGACTGACCCCTGCTGAATGGTTACAGCCTTTAAAGATTTCCCAGACAATCAACTAGCCTGGCCCTGCTTTGCAACTGGACTGAGTGCTCCCCAGGGAGAGGGGTTGCTGCTTTTAGCAGGCTGGAATAATGGCCTCCATGGGGCAAATGGGTTTTCACAGCCAAGCAAAAAGGGGAAGTTCTAGAAGAACTTCCAGGCTGGATTAAGAAAAAAAAAAAAAAAAAAAAAAAAAAAAAAAAAAAAAAAAAAAAAAAAGGCTTGAAATCTTTAGGTTAGATAATTCTAACCCGATCTAAATCTGGCTGTGGAGAACTAGACTGCCCATGTGCCTGATAAAATGTCATCATTATTTAGGAAGCCATGGGAAGCTGAACCCCTGAGGGAGCTGAGGGGCCAGAGACTCGGGAGGCCGAATCACAGTCCATCTGGTGTGGATGTCCAACACCCCTGGGGAATGGCTACAAATGAGGACCGCTCTGACAATGACCATGGCATTGGGCGCTCAACTAGGAAGGCACTTAGAAGAGCAGTATTGCTGGAGGTTGTGTTACTGGGAGAGGGCTGGGCTCCTCACTATCATGGAACACACTCCCAGCCAGCCCTTCCAGGCAGCTCCACCATTGACTGTGAACAGATGAGCAGTCCAAAGGAACCAGAGGCTCCTGGAGGCCAGCAAAAGAGGCTCTCCAGCCTTCAGGAAGATCGAGCACTGCCTGGTTTTTTTTTTTGTTTGTTTTATTTTTGTTTTTGTTTTTGTTTTTTTTTTCACAGAATCAGCAAAGGTTTTCCCATTCCCATCCCACTGCCCCTTTAGAGAGGACCAGGAGAGCCAGGAAAGGGAAGGGCTCATGGGTCTTGATATTTTAGAGAAAAGTTTTTGGGGAAGATGCAAACAGTGCAGCAAGGCCTTTAAAACACCCAATTCAAAATGTGTGTATTGCTAAATGAATTACTGCCGAGCTCAAAGGCCTTCTACTCCAAATGTGGCCCGAATAGCCAACTTTGATTCTATTACCTGGTATTAATATGAACTCCTTTCATGCAGTTGGGATTGTTTTTTCTGGGATGTATCGGAGAGGCAAAGCCTCCTCTTGAAAGCTGTCTCCCTCCCACCTGGGTCATAGTGGAGGTACAACTGACCCCAAGCGAGGGTCCAGCAATTCTCACTTCAAGCATCATCAAGCTGATGAGGACAGTAGGAAGAGGGTGGCTGCATCTCAGACAGGGAGGAAGGGTGAGCTTTACTCACAAGCTCTCAGAGGAGCAAGGAGGAAACAGCTACTCCCAGCAGCAGAGCGACCATACCATACATAACATCACAGGACAGGAAGGCAAAGACCAATGGGATTTGACCCCCAAGGGGGTCACTTCAAGAATGCCAATGCAGACATTACTTGTAGCTCCTTTCAAAGCCATTCTCAGAGGTATTAGATCAGCAAAGTCAACGAAACAAAGACAGAGGTGACCGACATGAGATGCAGTTAATGGAGACGGATGTTCTCAGAACACAGGTTCACGGACTGGTTAGAAATGGCCAGTGAGATGCAGGACACACAGGTGTCACGTGTGGCCCCAGGGTTGCGGCAGGGTCAGCAGAGTGATCACAAGGATGGGAAGAGAAGCCCCAGATAAACATGAAGGCAAAGCCAGCTTGTTTCTTACCACTTCGTCCTCGGTAGGCTTGAAAACACAAATTTACACTTAGTGGGAAGCCATGCCACACAAGGTCACGAGTCATAAGCACAAGGTTACTGACTGTTTCTCGGGGAAGACCGTTAATGTTAAATGGGTCTAACGTGCTGGAGGCAGACATGCTCAGCATACAGAGAGCAAAACCAGCAGGATTTAGAGCATGAAGATAACATATTTTTTTAAAGGCACCCCAACCCTTGCAATTCCTTTTTACAAATGTCATACACACAGTGGAAGTGGTCAGTTAGACTGAAAAGTTCAGTCACCTGGGTCCTCAATTCCTATTCTATTTGTTTGAAAAAGAACATAACAAGGGGGAAAAAAGAATATAACAAATAGATGACATTCACAAGTTCAGTTCACAGGTTCTGTGGCATGAGGGGTCAAGGCAAGCAGACCGGATTTTTAAAAAGCAGCTTGGAGGTGGTGGTTTAAGGAAAAGTCTAATTTGACCTTACTGCTTTTCACCCTCCCTGTAAAAAGTAGGCAAATAACATTTTTCAAAAGCTCAAATAATGTATCTGCCACAGAGAGCAGATTCGTGGGACAAGACTTTAAAAGGACCAGCGATTACAGTTCCAACTGGAACCATTCCTGGAAGGGGCAAGGGATGAAGAGGCTGCCCTAAAGGGCCTGTGTTTCTGGTAATAAGACCTGGGAAGCTGGGGCCTCCGCTGCCCTCGGTCCCCAGGAGCACAGTTAGTAATTGAGATTTGCGTGCAGAATACTGCAGGCAACTCGGAATTCAAGTTCGGACCATGAAGCAAAACTGCTATGGGTGCTGCCGGTGACACCTAGAGTTCAGAGCAGGCCCACTGGAAAAAGCTGTTGTGCCCTAAGAGGCCCAGAAGGCAGGCTGATCATTAGTATTAGTATTTTCATTTTCTAAGAAGACTGTAGGGAGGCCTCCTATGCACATAAGCCTAGGGCTGACCCACGGTAGAAGGAGAGGAAGCCCACGCCACTGGATCTTACCTCTTCTGCGTCCTCTGAATGGGTGGAGAGCTGGTCATGCTGAATAATCTCAGCATCCTCCTCTGTCGGTCCGTTGCCCACCCTGATCCCACCAAAGTTGAGAGTTCCCTACACAGATGAACAGAAAGAGTAGAATTTGCCTGGGCTTTAATGTGACATTCTGTGAGTGGGGAAGGGTGATGGTTAGTACATACAAACCTCAGAAAAGCATATATTCTAACAACAAAATCAAAACCCGCTGATCCAACAGCCAAGTAAAAACAAACCACTGTTCCCACCCCAACCAGCACCGCCCCAGCCCCAGCCCCAACTACATTTACCACCTCATTCTGATCAGAGGAAACATGCAGCCTGCTGCACCAAGACTCACCAACCTGGCCTTGGTCAACACTAACTGAGATGACTGCTTGAATGAAAAGCTTAACCTGAACGGACTCTTACAATGAGTGTAGCTCTATCTGTGAAGTTGTCAGTGGTCTAAGTTTTTCTAGAACTAAAGATCAGACTTTCTAAGAGGGAGTGGAGCCAAATGACATGGTGACCATAACCTGGTCTGACAAACTTTCAACTGGAACCCAAGAGTTCCAGCAACTTCTCCCAGAAGCATACTGGGTTTCTGCCCAGGAACAAAGGACTTCCTAGATCAGGGAAGGGAGAAATCTATATGGACATCAGCTTGCGGCCAGAGAATACTGAGGTCAAAAAAAAAAAAAAAAAAAAAAAAAAAGGAAAAGGAATGAAAAAGTCCCCTTTCCTTCAATGGAGGATTCTGGAGTGTTACAACAACTCTCTTCCAGGCATGTGGGCAAATGCCAAATGGGTGTTTGCTTCCAGTTTCCCAGGCATAGTGTTCAGCGGGCTCTCCAGAACCAGAATTTCTAAGTCAACCTGACTTGGAAAAGCTTGGGCTTACTGAGACAAAAGGACTTTTTGAGTACAAAACCAGGCAGAACTGGGGTTAAGTCAGACAAATACCAATGAGTGCTAACCCACCAGAGTGAACAGGAGCTAAAGAAACAGGTCCTGGGCCCACTTCTTATGGTTTCTGATCAGGGACCCCAAATGAGGCAAGAGTTCAAAAACTTTTCTCCTGCAAATCGGCCTTCTGGGCAGCAGCACAATGTGCCAACAACAGGTTTGCTCCACTGCCCAGAGGTCCCTACTCGCAGCTTCACCTTTTGGTGTGCAGCTTTTACTACAGCTGACTGACCACCAGAACTCAGTGCTTGGGCAAATTCTCCTTCTCCTTGAAGCAGGGCTTCTTCCGTGCTGGTCAGGGAGCCAGCTGCATCAGAATCACCTTGAAATTAAATAGAGATTCTCAAATACTACCCCCAGAAATTGTATACTTAGTAGATCTGGGGTGGGGCCCAGAAAATTATATTTAAAAAAATATTTCCCCACGTACAAACTGTATAAGCATTTTTTATTGTCTACCTTGAAAATTCAAGCACAAAAAAATGCACATACCCTTTGAGACACCCACCACTGGGAACATCTATGTTTATGAAATTTTATCAAGATACGTGGACAAGGATGTTCCCTGCATTTGTATTTATAATAGCAGAGAATTGGGAACAACCAACACATCCATCAATGACAGTGATTACACAATTTTAGCATATCCAACAGAATGTTCTATGGAATACTAGACAACTATAAAAAAGAGTGAAACACTGTGCCGACAGCTCAGAGCCTGGAGCCTGCTTCAGATTCTGTGTCTCCCTCTCTCTCTGCCCCTTCCCCATTCATGCTGTCTCTCTCTGTCTCTCAAAAATGAATAAACATTAAAAACAAAAAAATTAAAAAAAAAAAGAGTGAAACAATCTCCCAGGATACACTAAAAAATTTTAAACTTAATAAATCAAGGGGCAAAAGAGTGCTACAGTTTAAAACACAATTCCTAGTATGTTTTAAACGTGTATACATACACATGTACAAATACATATACATATTTATATCAATAGATGATAGCAATATGCTGACATATGCAGAAAAATATTGGAGGCAAAATTCCCCTGCCTTTGAGTAGGAGAAGGAGTCCAGGGACAGGAGCACTTTCACTTTCAGTACTATTTGCATTTTCTAACCTATTGCTTTAATTTTACTTTTTTTTTTTTTTTTTTCAACGTTTATTTATTTTTGGGACAGAGAGAGACAGAGCATGAATGGGGGAGGGGCAGAGAGAGAGGGAGACACAGAATTGGAAACAGGCTCCAGGCTCTGAGCCATCAGCCCAGAGCCTGATGCGGGGCTCGAACTCATGGACCGCGAGATCGTGACCTGGCTGAAGTCGGACGCTTAACCGACTGCACCACCCAGGCGCCCCTTAATTTTACTTTTTAATGTCAGTGGAGGATTGTCTGGGTCATGGAACTGCGGACTATCTTTATTACTTCTTCTGTTTTAATACTCTAAGAAACAAACGTAAAGGTCACCAGGTGATTCTGATGTGTACTCAGATTCGGGAAGCACCGAGACCCTGGGCACCTCCAGGTCATGCGAACATTACACCTGACAGACCTCAGCAGGTGGACTGGAAGTACAAAAAGGGCACTGGTGACAGGAGAGGACCCCAGCATATCCTGGCACGGGTTACAGGGTTGAGGCAGGCTTCAGGCTTTAAGGATCCTAAAGCAGAAGGTCATTTCTGAAGCTTTTCCCAACCAGCAGACAGAGTGAGGGGCAGACAGGGTAAACCTCTCAGCCAGACACTAGCAAGTGTCCCTTCAGGACACAGGACATGAAAATTACAGGAAGAGGGGATGAGACATACACATCAGCAGAAAAAAGAAAACATTAAACCATGATACACTGCTTACAGACAACCCAAAGGACAAAGAACAGAACAAACACAGATCAGTGATTGTCTCCTCAGCCCTTAGGGTCAAGAATCCAGAGTCCTTGTGAAACGATCATCTTGAAGCTTTCATGAGGCTCAATAGAACCAGACGTTTCACGGAAGAACCAGTGGGCTAAGAAGACTCTATGAAGGTGCAGGTTTCCAGACGGGGGACGTTTCACTTGGACAATATCGTAGAAGAGGGTAACAGAGTTAAAAGCACCAAAACGGATGCATCAGAAGCACATCCTAAATATGCTAAGACTAACAGAAAGAAGGGCACGTGGAAAGAATGTCAATAAATGGATAGTATGTGGTTTGTGAACTTAAAACATTTCTCAAAGGAGAGAGTAAATCCCTGTTTGAAAATAATTTTAAACAGTAACATTAAAATATCTTCTGATCCAAAATATCAGCCTTTTTAGATTAGTTCTAGAAGGATTACAGCAGTTTTCTAGGTTTAAAATGATCAGAAACACCTAATGTAGGAAAGAGCTATCCATCTAAATATTTCATTTTCTTATAAAGGAGTATGATGCCACTAGATCATAAGAGTACATGTGTGATTACTGCTGGTGAGATTTTTTTAAATCTTACTGATTACCTAGAATACACCGAGCTAAGCTGATATTAGCACATTAAAACAGTTTGGTTAAGAGATGTTTTTCAGGAAAAATATTGAAATACTTAACATTCAAAGTGCTGTTGCTGAATCATGAGTTAGTATCTGAAGAAGGAAAGTCGAAACAGATGACTTTGGTTATTGTACCAGATGCAGAAGACACACGAGACACATGGCGGAGTGGAGGTCTCAATGGAACAGCTGAGGACATGAGGGCTTCTGAGTCTCTCACAAAAAAGTAGACATGTATAAGCTCTGACTGGCAGGAGAGTAAGTCATAGCTAAAATGGACCAAATGTCCAAGCATCACTCCGAAGCAGAAGTTTAAAGAGCAGGGAGATTTATTCAAGAATCACAGAAATGTTCTTGCTCCATGCAGAAAAAGCATCTAATACGTGGTCACAAAATACATCCCATTAAGATGATGGGATTCTGAGAGGGTACAACCGCCACTTTCCTCCCATAGACATGACTGTACTTACAAATTTGAATAGAAACTTAGTAGACCAATGATAAAGATGATATTAGAATCTACTCGTAAGAGGTGGAAGTCTTTTCTATCATTGTCCCAATGAGATAAAAGGATGGACTTCCCAAGAGCACACATGTCCCATGCTCTCCATATAACTGAAAAGAATTCTGCTGCACTGTTTGCCACCTCTTTACACAAAATGTGATGGTTTGTCAGTTTTAATTCACTCACTGTTGCAGCCGCTGCTGCCTCTAGTCCCTGCTGGCTCGGGGTTGGGCTGACTGGGGCCTCCACAGGCTGCCCTTCCTGATAGTGAATGGAAGAGAAGAGGAAGGGAGAAAGAAACAAAAGAGGGCGGGAGTGAGGCGGGGAGACGAATGGAGGGTACATGGAAGGATGAAGATGGTCAGAAAAGGGAGAAGGAGGGTCTTGTAACTCAGCTGCTCTCCAACAGGAATAATAATCTAACAGCCGTATGAGAGTCATGCAATAAGATCTTTTGGGTTTTATTAGGCAGTGTAATAAGTAATCATTATTGCATAGCCAGAAATGAAAATTTGGGGTGTGTGTGTGTGTGTGTGTGTGTGTGTGTGTGTGTGTGTATAGAATTCATAAGCACACATACATTGAGTAAACACAAGTTTGTGTGTGGCATTTAAAAAAAAAAAATCTTTTTCCCAGATGTCTCAATTGGTGAAAGTATCATGGTCTCATTTTAAACGAAAATGTCTCAGCGTCAGCCCTGTGGTTGCCCAGGCAAACCACATGAGTGGGTTCACCCACCTGTAGCTCCTGCAGCCCTGATTTGGCTGAGGTTGCATCTAAGCAGGCCCAGACCTAGATTTTGCTGAGCACAGCATGAGCAAAGCATGACCAAGAAAGGCAGAAACTTATGACTTGTTTCCTGTACCTAAGCTACTCAAAGCTGAATCCAGATGTTCGAGCAGCAAATACATGGGTTTAAAAAAAAATTTTTTTTTCATCAGGTCCAATGCACATGCTGGGATATGACACAAGTGCGTTTTAGAGGATGTAGTCTTATGCACAATTCATTATATCTGATGAGGAATTGTCTTGCTCTCAAGGGGAAAAAAAATCTAGTATCTTTCAGCAACAAAAATACACCCACCAAATGCTTCCTCCTCAAATATTGATGGCGAAGGACCAGTGGTTTAAATAGTAGCATCCAGGGTACACACAGTAGCGCGACCACTACCAGGAAACACTGAATTCCTTTCTACAAAGTAAGGACAAGGCACATCATATTAATCAAACATGCAGTTTCCAACTCTAGCACAAATTTCCCCCAAACAGTATTTTCTTACTGATCTATGAATGACACCATCCAGTTTCTCAAACTAATTAGCAGATATTGTGGCAAAGCCCAAGAATTATCTGATAGGATGCTAAAGAGGATGGGCTGAATTTAGATCTGAAGGTATTGGCTGAACACCAACACCACAGAAAGAGATTTTTAAAGGCTTTTGCAGATATCTGGCTTCCTGGGGCACCTGGGTGGCTCAGTCAGTTGAGTATCTGACTTTGGCTCAGGTCATGATCTCACAGTTCATGAGTTCAAGCCCCGCATCAGGCTCTCTGATGTCAGCACAGAGCCCGCTTTGATCCTCTGTCCCCCTCTCTCTGAGCCTCCCCCACTTGTGCATGCACGCGCTCTCTCTCTCAAAACTAAACAAACATTAAAAAAGAAAAGAAGAGAAATATCTGGCTTCCTGATTGAGGGAACCACCTAAGCCAGTCTACCTCTGGGTTGACTCACCTGTCCAGAATAAAGCATCGCATTACTGGAGTCACCGTAGGAAAAGAGAAACATGTTTATGAAATGAATCAGAAGGCTTGGCGCCTTCTCAGATGTATGAGCATCATAGGCTGTCCACTTGTAAAATATGAGGATAACCAAGTAGCCAAACAAAGAGGTCATGAAGATTATTTCAGGAATAAATCCAAAGTAGATATTCAGGGGTTTCTTGAAATAGCTAAAAAGAGAGAAAAAAATGTTAAAGGCAAACAGACCCAGGGACGCCTGGTGGCTCAGTCGGTGGATCATGCGGCTCTTGATCTCAAGGTCGTCCGTTCAAGTTTCACATTGGATATAGAGCTTACTTTTAAAAAAATTAAAATTAAAAACAAAACAGTGAACAGACCCAGAGTCACCCCCAGACCAAATGGAGTACTCACTAGATCTCCTACCTACACTTCCCTCAATTCTGTCTTTATCACTTTAAGAAGCAACAGCCAGATGCACTGAAGGCAACGGAGAGAAGCAGGATTAATTGTGACTTCTAAATTTTTGGACCTTGGACAGTTCCAGTACCACCCCCACCCCCCACCACCAAACTTTTCCCATCAGAAAGAGACTGGAAAATATAGTACCTTCTGGGACCATAGTTTATAATTTTATGTGAGTTACACATCAAGAGAAAAAAAAATACCTCACTCATTTTGATGAAAATGACATAAAGTTTTTCAAAGAGCTTTACTACAATTGTAAATTGTTAAGGGACTAATGCTAATTAAGCCTCATTTAAGAATATGAGATTTTTATAAAAAGCACCTCTTTAATGTAGAATAGGGTTCTGAGTTATTAATCCCTCTCCAAAGATGTCATGATTTCTTTAGGCGAAAGCATTATCTAAATTATGCGTGTTCCTGAGACAGAAATACAGCAACTCACGTATGGTTGAAGAGGCTCAGGCTGACTCCAAACATCATGTGAATGATGCCAAGGATAACAGACATCTTCATTTTAAAGGAGTTGAGAAAGGTCAGTTTATTGGTAGCAATGTTCCAGATCTATCACAATCCAAGGAAACAAAAAAGCATTATAAAGAGTTCATGAATGGGACATTATTATGCACCAATATTAAAAAAATTTTTAGTATTTACTTACTTTGAGACAGAGAGAGTGAGTGTGTGCACACATGTGCATACAAGCAGGGGAGGGGCAGAGAGAAGGAGTGGCAGAATCCCAAGCAGGCTCCACACCATCAGCTCAGAGCCCAATGTGGGGCTCAAACTTACAAACCCTGAGATCATGACCCGAGCCAAGATCAAGAGTCGGACGCTTAACCAACTGCACCACCCATGTGCCCCTCACCAATTTTTTATTTTTTTTAGTTTTTTAATTAAAATTTTTTTAACATTTATTCATTTTTGAGAGACAGAGAGAGAGAGACCGCACGTGCGTGCGCATGAGTGGGGGAGGGGCAGACAGAGAGGGAGACAGAGTCTGAAGCAGGCACCAGGCTCTGAGCTGTCAGCACAGAGCCCGACACGAGGCTTGAACTCAGAGGGAGAGATCATGAACAGAGCTGAAGTCGGTCGCTTAACCAACTGAGCCACCCAGGAGCCACCCAATTTTTTTTTTTTTAAAGTAAGCTTTATGCCCAAAGTGGGACTTGAAATCATGATCAAGAAAGAGTCATGTGCTCTAACACCTGAGCCAGCCAGGAGCCCTTATTTACCTATTTGAAAGCTTTTTTTAATTATGAAAATTCTAAGCATAGACTTAAATAGAGAGTATAACAAATTCCCATTTACCTATGATCCAGCTTGCATACTTTTTTTTTTTTTTTTTTGAGAGAGAGAGAGAGCACACGCTAGTGGGGAAGAGGGGCAGAGGGAGAGAAACATAATCTCAAGTAGGCTCCACACTCAATGCAGAGCCCAACCTAGGGCTTAATCTCATGATCCTGGGATCATGGGACCCAAGCTGAAATCAAGAGTCAGATGCTCAACTGACTGAGCCACCCAGGTGCCCCCCTGAAAAATTACTATTGGCTCAAGGTCAATCTTATTTCATCACACAACCTACTCCCCACTTCCCTATTATTTGGAAGCCAAGTTCAGATATCATATAATTTTAACTGTAAATACTTCAGTACATATCTCTAAAAGGTAAGCACTCGTTTTTATTTTACTTAAAAAATTTTTTTTAATGTTTATTTTTGAGAGAGAGACAGAGCGTGAGCAGGTGAGGTACAGAGAGAGAGAGGGACAGAGACACAGAATCTGAAGCAGGCTCCAGGCTCCAAGCTGTCAGCACAGAGCCCAACGTGGGGCTTGAACTCACAAACCGCGAGGTCACGACCTGAGCAAAGTCGGATGCTTAACCAACTGAGCCACCCAGGTGCCCCGGTAAGCACTCATTATCAAAACATAACCACAATGCTGTTATCACCCCCAAAAACATTAACAATGATTCTTTAATACCATGAAACATACACTCAGTATTTAAATTTCCCTGATTGTGCCCCAATTTTTAAAAATAATTCATTTATCCAAAAGTAGGGTACAGATCAGGTCTCTACATTGATTACTGACACAGCTCTTAAATCTCTAATCTATAAATTCTCCTTTCAGCTCTCCTTTTTAATTCCTTACAAAATATTTTAAAAAGTTGGAACATGTATTTTGTAGATGTTTCCCCGGTCTGTGTTTTACTGATCACGTACCCTTAATGCTGTCATTCCATCTATTTTTAAACATTAGTTGCCTTAAGCTTTGTCACCCAAGGGCCTGGACATCTGTAATATTTTCCCGCAGTTCTCTGCCTCTACTTGGCCATCAAATCACATTTCCTAAATCACTGACTCTGGTGCAGTCACTTCCCTGTGCCCAAACCTACCTCACACCCCCAGTGTCTTCTCTACGATAAAGTGTGAACTCAGTAACCTGATAAGCCAGACCTTCCACCAGCGAGCCTGGCGTTTTTTCTGAACTGGCCTCCTTGCAAGGAGCTTATCCTCGGTGACTTCTATTCTCAAAACATGTGGCTGGTTCTCTCTCCAGCCCATTTTCCCTGAAATTCAGTTCTACGGCTCCAACTGCCTGATGGACATTTCACCTGTGCATCCCACAGGCACATCAAACTCAACACCTACCCTTAAGTGTCAAATGAGATGTACGTAAAACAACATCAACAACAACGAAACACTCTGTTAACTACAGAACCCTATATAAATGTTACCTAATATTTTTATTAGACTCTAAGCTACTTGAGGCCAGGAGCTACATCTTTCAATTCTGTGTTTCCCCCAGCAAGCACTATGCCTGCAGACAAGGATTCAATAAACATTTGTTAAATGCATGTGTGAAATGTTATCCAACCTTTCCAAGCCTTGGTTTTCTTATCTGCATGATAGGGATAGCAGTATTTCCCTGATAGAATTGTTTGAGGGGAGAGCCCTAGTGTCTGTAAACTGATGAATGGGTAAAGAAGATGTGGTATATATAAAATGGAGTATTACTGAGCCATCAAAAAGAATGGAAGCTTGCCATCTGCCATGACATGGCTGGAGCCAGAGAGTATTATGCTAAGTGAAGTAAGTCAGAAAGACAAATACTAGATGATTTCACTTGTATGTGGAATTTAGGAAACAAAACTGATGAACATATGGGAAGGGAAGAAAAAAAGAGAGAGGGAAGCAAACTGTAAGAGCCTCTTAAAGACAGAATAAACTGAAGGTTGATGGAGGGAGGTGGGTGGGGGATGGGCTAGACTGTGATGTGTATTAAAGAGGGCACTTGTTGGGGTGAGCACTGGGTGTTGTAGGTAAGCGATGAATCCTTAAATTCTACTCCTAAACTAATATCACACTACATGTTAACTAACTAGAATTTAATAAAAATTTGGAAGGGAAAAAAAAAAAGAACCGTTGGAGGGGAAATCAGATATGCTAAGGGCAGAGCTCAGTGCTTGGCCCACAGTAAGCATTTCTGTAACATCTGCTCTTATAATAATAAAAATAAATAACTTTGTATTTCCCCACCTATATGCTTTTGTACACACTTCTCACCTATACCAATCTGAAACATTTTTTAAAGGCCAAGTTAATACCCATTTTTTATAAGAAACCTTGATCTTTCTGACCCATAATGATGTGTTTTTCCTCTGGAATGCTGTACTCCTTAAATCATTCTTAAATCTCCCCCCACCCCCCTTTTAAGCACACAATACAAAAGATCTGATCACACTTTATTTGCCTAAGTATTTTTTTTTTTTTTAATTCTGGGATAAGTTTTTTAAGTATATAAAGATAAGAATGGAAATCTAAAACCCATAGGAAAAGACTATTTCTGCTTTGTTAAAATACCTGCTAAACTAAGTTAAACAGAAATAAATTGGGAAGGAGTCTTGAAAATCAATCTTCCCAGGGTCAAAATTATTAGCCATCTCTGAAATAAGTAGTGCAGGAAAAATTATTTGGGTCCCCAAGGCACTTGGGTCTCTTATGGTTTGGAAGTACTCTGGACAAATACACAAAAGACTTTCCAAAAACATGTCAACTGAAGGGGCGCCTGGGGGGCTCAGTAGGTTACGTGTCCGACTCTCGATTTCGGCTCAGGCAATGATCTCACCATTCGTGGGATTGAGCCCCTGCGCTGACAATGCAGGGCCTGCTTGGGATTCTCTCTCTCCTTCTGTTTCTGTCCCTCTCCTGCTTGCATGTGTGTGCTCTGTCTCTCTCAAAATAAACAAATAAACTAAAAAAAAAAAAAAAAACAACCTTCAGCTGAAAACCAAATAACCATTTATCTTCAACTTAATTCTCTCACTTCAAGGTTACAGTTTCAAACTCTGGTGTTAGACATATAGGAAAGAAGTGCTCTTACTGGATCAATGCCAAAAGGGTATGGTCCACCAAAAACTCCAGGGACAGCTGGATTCAACTGTAGAACAGGGTTCCCCCGAAGTGTCTCATCCCTACCATGTTAGAAGAAAAGTTCCATTTGTTTTTATCAAGAGCGGGAAACTGCTAGGGTCCAAAAACTGGTCCTAAAAGAAACTACTACAACTGTCTTGTCTCTTTAATAAAAGAGGAGGGACTAGCATCTGAGAATGAGAAGGGATCAGCAATAACAAAAGAACACAACAAACAAATACACCTACATAACCAAGCAGGCAATTTGGGGAATCTGCTTTTAATTTACAAAAAGAATCAATGTGCCTACATTTATAGTCTCAGTTTCTTGAGAGTACTGAAAGAATCACAAAACACTTCCCAGGCTGGGGCATAAATAAGAGGGGACACTGCATTCTTCTGAAACAGAGACACTGTCAGCCACTTCTGAAAGAAGTAGAAGTTTACCACTTGTCTGGAAGATCAGAGCTGAACAGGAAAGGAAAAAGCTTTGACTTTCGTCTTCTTTGCAACTTACGTCCAATTATACAAAGAGAACATTGGCCGTACGCTCCAGGATGACCCGAAGATATTAAGAGACTTGGAAAAGCAATCATTGTAGATGAGGCCAGTGTAGATGGAAAACACACCCATCAGTAGAATAATGTACCGGCCACTGAACACAGTGCTAAACATCTGGAAAGCAGAAGAAAGAAGTCAATGAAATGTACTCTCGGTGGCTCATGACGTGACAATATTGAGAATATACTAGACCCTTCTTCTCACACTACTTTACCCCACCCTGGGTCAGAGAGCTTAACGTAAAGGTCAAAATACAATGCTAACAAGAAATTACTTTCACAGCACATGGCCGCTTCAGTGTTAAAATGAATATAACGTCTCTATTCTTGACATGGCCTCTGTAACTTCTCTATAACTTCACGAATAAAAGACTTCCAGATCTTAATTTTATAGTGACTGCTTGAGGAATTACAAAGTGTCAGTCCGACGCAGATGTGACAAACATTACCTCATTCTCGTTCTTCTGGGAGAGAAGCCGGCTCTCCCTTAACACCATCCATACAGCAAAGAGGGTCATCAAAATGCCATGGCCAAAGTCCCCAAACATCACAGCAAACAGGAAAGGGAAAGTGATGATGGTATATGGAGCTATAAAGAAACCAAAGGAGGAAAAAGACAAAGTACAGACAACTGTGCCCACCACCAAAAGATCACATTCCTCACCGTACTCTAAGATCTGTACAAGGGGACTTACTCCTGAGCTGTTGGTCAGATGGACTCTCAGGGAAAACCTTCCATGACAGGACCTCACAAAGCAGCTCTGATGGCATCGAGGCCTACTGCTAGCATTTTAAACAAAGGACACAGGAAATGCAAGTTTTGTCCCTAGCCCTGGCAACAGTGTAATTTGTTCTTTGATTCCTTTTCTCTAACTCCTGGGACACTGCTCCTTTGACAGGCCAGCTTTCTTCTCTTGTGCAGCAACCATTTCCCAGCTGAATAAAGCTCTCAGGTACGTGGGAGAAAGCCTGGAACCCAGAGCAAAGTCAGTCCTGTAGAAGACTCCAGCTAAAAACGAATTCCCAGACTCTTGATTTAATAATTAACTCTCCTGGCTTTGCTTTGGGAAATCTGCTTTGTGTCTAAAATGGTCAGTAATTGCTATATTTTCTCTGTCTAACCTGGTATAGGGAAGCCTTTTAAAAATATCAGATATCTTAGAAAAAACTTAAAGTACTTCCTGCAAATGGTGTGCTAGAGAAAGTCAGGTGTTTCATAGTTGTGAGGGCACACAAAAGAATCCAATCCACTGAGCTCATTCCTATAAAACCACCTCTTAGAAGAGTGCCACCCAGCAACAAACCTCCCTCTCTGTGTCAAAGTGGGCACGTCTTTACAGGAATGACACTAGAGCTGAGATCTTGACAACACTGTTAGTTTTAAGCCAGTTATTCAAGAACATTTGAAGGGAAGCATTAGAAGAAATAACAAACAAAAAATCAAACCTCTAGAAGATTCAAGCTCTTTTTACCTGGGTTTATCTCTCTGTAAGTCCCGATTCCGTAAGCATCTACTATGTTCTGAAAGCCGTATGTGAACTTGTTCGTTTTGTTATAGGTTGGGGGAGTCTGATTTGTTTGCATCCTGTTCAAGATAGAGGGCACAGTGGAGCCACTGTGTTCCTGGGAAACATTGAGCACACATAGCAAAATTAGATCATCCTGACCATGAACATATTCATCAAAACTCCTCAAGCTGTACATATAAAATACGTGCATTTTATTCTATGTGAGTTGTTTCTCAATCTTCCCATCTTTGGGAGAAACCGGAACTAGGTATAAAATTTACGATGAAAAATTTACATTAAGTCTTGGGAAGAATATCCTTACTGTGAAAAAAATTCAGTTCTAAAATGTGTAACCAAAGAAAATATGGCACTTCCTTGTCTGAAGACAATCATTTGCCTTTCTGAGATTATCGCTGTTCTCTCCTCCTTTTATGGAGAAAGCAGCGAATGTTTTCAAACTCTAACTACTAAGCGGGACTGCCAGAGGTATCCCTCAGAAGTGGTCTGCTGGACAGAAAGAATGGATCAGGAAACATTGTGGTCATGAGCTACCCTGAAGAATCACGGGTATACGACCAAGTCATTTCATCTTTTTTGAACTGCAGTTTCCACATTCGGAAAACCAAGATGTACAAAATGTATGGTTAGGATATAAGAGGAGTACAAGGTGAGTATAGTCAAGAAGTCTGAAAGTAAAAATGCCACAAAAACGTAATTAATTCATGTTATTGTTGACGGGAACCTCTTTTCCTGGCTGCATGGTTAGTGGTGCGGGACTCACCGTGCCCCTTCTGAGTGCAAACTGGATGGAGTCGAGGTCGGTGACAGGGCACCAGACCTCGGCGATCAGGCACTTCTGGGTTACGTCTATGTTGCACAGATTCAGAGTGTGGTAGATGGCCTTCATCTTCCGCACCTTGATGAACCAGACACGGATGTTCTTAGCAGCCGCCTGCAGAACCCTCTGGCGGTGGTCCTCTGTTTGATTCAGAACCTTTTGGGAGAGAAGGGAACAAGGAGAGATCCTTCTACATACAGAACCAGTCTTAGATCTCAGCATATAAATGGGAAAGAGGCACAGCTTTCTGAGAAGGGTTGCTAGGGATCTATTCTTCTTCAGACTAGAATGGCTTTTTTTGGGCACCTGAGTGACTCAGTCAGTTGAGCGTCAGACTTCAGCTCAGGTCATGATCTTGCGGTTTGTGGGTTCGAGCCCCACGTCAGGCTCTGTGCTCACAGCTCAGAGCCTAGAGCGCTTCAGATTCTGTCTCCCTCTCTCTCTGCTCCTCCCCTGCTTGTGCTCTGTCTCTCTCGCTCTCAAAAAATAAAGAAACGTTAAAAAAAATAGAATGGCTTTTTTGGGGGGTAAATTATAAGAAATTACAGTTTTAGTTACTAATATTCATTTTCTGTTAGCTTCAATCTGAAGAGAAACCTGAGGAAATTGTTTTTAGCTCTTCTATATTTTATCTTCCCACCAAGTCCACAGCACAATATAGGTCATTGGCTTTTACCTGGATCATTAAAGAGCAATGGCTTTCCATATGGAGTCTCAAACTCAAAGAAGTCAGCATCATCATAGGCCTGGGAGTTGATAAAATCCATACTTAAGAACAGTAAGCTGCAGAATCCCCTGAACATAAGCCAGCATCAGGGAATGATGGGAAAGAGGCAGGGCTGAGCACCGTTGTCTACCTATGCCAGAAGAGACTCCATGCCAGGGAACAAGAGACAGGAGACACTGTGGGGTCAGGAGGACTCATGGCCTTAGAGGGGATTTAGACAGCCACATACCACTGTTATCATGGGGCAGATGAGGCTTTGCCTTTCTGTCAGGCTTCTTGGGGGAAGGGGAGGGAAACATTTTCAGTGCTGATCCTTTGGAAATCAGTACAGGTTTTCCTCAGAGTGATCACGCTGCCGAAACTGAAACCACGGTAGAAGAAAGGGAAGGGACACTTTACATTCCACTGCCTTGGTAATCACCATTTAAGATTTCAATAGCAGAAGAGGGGCTAAGCCAAAGGGCGAGTAACCCATCACTCACACTTCTGTATGGAAACTGACCTTAAATCTCCACATTTCTTTACAGAGGAAAAAGTTATGCACTAGCCATGTTAGCACAAGGCTCTATCATACTCGGCTCATCAAGTCAATTCAGAGAAAAGTAGTAACTACTTTCTGAAGGGCAGTAGGTGGGGACTTCCATACAGGTTTCTAAAAAACCTGCAGGCTAGAGAAACTCTTGCATCACTTAAGAATAAAGGAACAAAGTTATTTTCTCTCCTTCTGGCTGCTGACAATTTTACAATTACCATTCAAACTTCTGGAAGAATGCTAGATAAACGTGTAAGCAATGCCCTATTTGCTTTTCTCTTTCCCCATCCCCCACACCCACATCTCACTCCTTGACAGTCAATCCCTTTTTAACGCTTTTTTTTTTTTTTTCATTTATTTTTGAGACAGAGCATGAACGGGGGAGGGGCAGAGAGAGAGGGAGACACAGAATCAGAAACAGTCTCCAGGCTCTGAGCCATCAGCCCAGAGCCCGACGCGGGGCTCGAACTCACGGACCGCGAGATCGTGACCTGAGCCGAAGTCGGCCGCTCAACCGACTGAGCCACCCAGGCGCCCCTAGTCAATCCCTTTTTAAAGTTTCAGTTCATATAGCTGGGTACTTTAAAGATCAAATTCTGGCCATATTGCCAATGCCTTTTAAAAATCTATCCATGAGTCTAGGAGGGGATAAGACAGGCTTAGAACCCAGAACATACTAATTGGCCCACCACCCACCAGCAGCTCTAAAAACTTTCGTCCCTTGGTTAAAGAGGTGAGTGCTTCTCAAAGGAGCCAGCAATAGGTCAAGATGGTGGGTCATACAGTATGGGAGTTGGAGGGAAAAAGGACTAAGGGAGTTGAGATGGGAGTTACAGCATCTCTGGTGATTCTGCCTCCACTGGAAAGAACAGTCTTTGGAATTAAGTACAGAGGGCGCCCCTTATCTGTAGGGGACACCATCCAAGACCCCCAGTGGGTGCCTGGAATGGTGAATAGTACCTAACTCTATAAATAGTATGTTTTTTCTTATACACACATACCCATGATGAAATTTAATTTATAAATTAATTAAATTATATTAGGCAATTGACAATAACTAATAATAAAAGTGTAACAACATGCTATAATAAAAGTCCTGTAAATGTGATATCTCTACATATCTTCCTGTACTGTACTCACCCTTTTTCTTATGAGGATATGAGAGGAAAAGGTGCCTACATGAGCATGAGGAGATGAAGTATGGGGAGTGGTGTTAGGTGTGTGACCAGCATTAGGCTACTACTGACCTTCTGATGTCATCAGAAGGAGGATCATCTGTTTCTGAATCACAGTTGATTTGGGTAACTGAAATCTCAGAAAGCAAACTCGTGGGTGGCAGGGGGACAACTGTATATTTTAATGTTTCAAGAGGGCAATCATCACAGTCTTTCAACAGAAAACAAAGCTCCAACTGGCCACCCTTTCCTTCCACGTATGCATCAATCATGACTCCTTCCTTAGGATTTTGTGACAATGGAGTGCATAAGCCAACTGGTGATGTGGTAAAAATCTAGCGCAGTCTCTTCTTGGGTACTAGAGTTATACTAGGACCCTTTGCCTAGACTGTGTGATTAAGATCTAAGGTGACCAGAAGGATACACACCAAGCTGTCAAGAGCAGCTGCCTCTGGAGGGGGAGTGTGTGTGACAGCGGAATGGACTTTATGTGTACTTCTTTATTACTTGATTTTTTTCTTAACTAAGCATACTTTTTTAAATTGTAAAAATACCTCAAACTCATGAGGAGGGAAATTGAATACACTAAGCAACGACAATTTCGGATGGATAGCATTCCTGCCGCGTTTAAGGATGATTAATGCTATTTTTAACAGTCATTCCCTGAAACTTTTTCCCAACTCCCAAGGGCACAAGTTACCCATGGACATTTCTTTTTTTTGGTGTCTTGGCTGCTGTAGGTGCCTAACAAACTGTTAGTGTTTCAAGGAAGGAGAATGGTTTTCTATTATAGTATTTCTGATGAGGGAGCATAAAGCGAGCTGACAGGCCGCCAACACCCTCCCCCCAACTCCTAGATGGGATATGTGTGATATTCCTCCAGCACTCCTGGCTGCCCAAGAACAAAGGAAAGCGGAAAACTAAGGTTAACTGATAGAGATCATAGTCCTGCAGGACCTAAGTCTCCATCACCCCTCCACAGTGATGTGGGAAACAAAGGCAGAAGGAAATGGCAGATAGAACTCAATCTCCTTATAACCTGCAGCCCATTGACAAATACTTGAGGCTGGCAGAGTAAAATGTTTCTCCAGGAATTCCTTACTGTCTTAATATTAATGCTTTGCTAGAGGGAAGAACCACCTTAGCTTGACAATAGCTAGGCCTCCACTATCCTGGGAGTCTTCTGTAGCATATGAAAATCTCACTGGAAACTTCCCCTGGACTTTACCTCCTCCAACCCCATAGTATACAACCAGTCTCTCCTCATGGTCCCTGGGCAGCTCTTCCTGCCCATGGGTCCTGTCCCCGTGCTTCAATAAAATCACCTTTTTGCACCAAAGACACCTTCAAGAATTCTTTCTTGGTTGTCGGCTCCAGACCCCATGAACCCCACGATCACCCCCCCCCCCGGAAAAAAAAACCACACACCAAAATGCCCTCCAGCCCTCTGTTACCATTTGGAGATCGTCAATCCTGGTATTAACTCCAGAAGCCATTTCCTTCCTCTCCTGTGGTGTCTCAGGACAGGGATAGAGTGAGGCCCGGAACCTGGAACATACAGACACAACCTGACAAACATCGAAGTTTCTTAACCTATCCAATTTAAATAACCTCAGAAAGTAATCTTAATGTACTAGAAGGACCAAAACAGGATTAGTTCAGAGTGGTGCCCTGATCATGAATAACTAGGAAGTGTCCTATAGATAGAGCAGTAACATTTGAACAATCTCGACATTCTCTGCAGCTACTAAATTTCCTTGGATTAAAATTATAAAACTCAGTAATACAAATCATATTATAAGTTACTAGAGAAAAATGGCATGGAAAAGAGATCTTATAGGCAGAATTTCAGAAAAGTTTACAGGCGCAATACCTATGGCACACTGCTGGGTACACAAACCCATTGTCCTAGAACAATGCAGCATTTATAAACCATGAGTCCTAATTACTTTCTTTCCAAAGAAAGGAAATTGTGGTTTTGACAGTACTTTTAAAAATGAACTGAGACCATTTCTAATTATTTAAAATAGCCCTAACATTATTAGAAGATATATGTATTACATTAAGGTAGACTAAAAGGGCTATTGTTTCATTATTCTGTATCCTAAGGCTTAACAGTCAAGGCATTCTGATTGCACCCTCAGGGAGGCACATTTCTCTTACCCTTCACAGATTTTCTTGACTCTGTTTTTCAGCTGATCGCCTTGGAAGAAAATGATGAATACAGATTTGTGCACGTAGTCACCCTGGGCCCCAAACCAGAAACAGAGAATTTAGACTTCTACTCTGGAAGAATATTTCTTGAATAACCTACTTTCTTGGTGATATAGGAATGGGAGTCCTTTAAGGATACGGCAACCCTGCACTCAAACTATTATCCTCCATCCGTTTCTTAAGCTCCACTATAAGAACATTTGTCCTATAATCCGTAATGCACAAAAAACTTTCTGTATTTGTTTTTAAACTCAACCGTGAGCTGAACACAGATGCTCAGATGCTCAGATGATTCTCCTCGTAGCACAATATAGCCCTTATTACCAATTCAACTTCAAACCTTATACTACCTCAGTAAGTACGGAAGAGAGGAGAGGAAGCCATTCCTGCTTATTCCCATGCTTAGAAATTCCCAGATAAAGGGGACTGAGTAACTCTAAGGAACAGAGGTGGGAAGAATGTTGATGTAGAATCTCATGCTTCATGCTAAGTTTGATCTAAGGAGCAGGGAGGAAGGCAATCTATTCCAAATACCAAGTTTACACGCAAAGTCTGATGCAAGGATTGCAGGGAAAGATCAGAAAAATAAGCTTAACTGGGTGTTAACTAGTATTGTCTCTAGTTGCCTGTATTTCTCATATTCCTAGAGTTTTTATAATAAAAGGCAAACAGACTTCAGAAGGATAAAAGGAGATGCGGCGTGAAGACAATGACGCTACATGTCTTAAATTCCTTCATTCTCCAGGAATAAACTGGAGCGCATTCTTTGTGCAGCTGCTCTGCTGTAGCTAGCCAGACCCCCTTTCCTCAATTTGTTGATAATAGTGTTTCTGTTGCCCAGAAACTTGGCTGAAGATTCCTGAGAACAGTTCCACAGGAGGTGTGACTGCAGACTGCAATGTCTCCACAAGCCAAGCACAGGCTTCAGTGAGTCTGTAAAACTGCTCCTCTGGGGGGCTCGCTGTACCCTAAGTGCCATCACCCTCCTGTTTAGGAGGATAAAAGGATGAAAGCCTCAGATTTTCAGCTGCACGACCCACCCACTCTGAGGAGTCACAAATTCAATCTCTCTTCTTAGGTGGGACAAAGAATGGTAATCTAAGAAAATCCAAAAGATCATTTTCAACAGACAAACCAAGCCCAGGCTTCTAAATAATACCAATACAAAAGGGAAGTAATTTTTTTTTTTTTTTTTTTTTTGCAATACATTTAATCTTCCTTGCTTGTGATCCTTGACATCAGGACTCACGATACTTAGTGTAGGCTGATGTTAAGAACTCTGGCCCGTTATGTCAAATGCCAAGAGATTCAGCCATTCCTACTCTGCAAAGCACTGGGTGGGGAAGATTATTCTACCTTGTACAATATATTATCCTTAAATTAAGTTTCCAAATCTCCCAACAAACAAGTAGACAAAAAAACCTTACCAACTAAAAATTTTATCAACTTATCGAGCTCACAGTTGAGGAACTCTCTCCTTATATGGATATTACCGAACTTGGAACCAGATATCTTGCTTTAATTTTCATAAAGTTGATTTTCTTTTGGTCTCAGATAAGTAACAGAAAGCATATAAAGCTGAGGTTTGGGGCGCCTGGGTGGCTCAGTCGATTAAGCGTCCGACTTCAGCTCAGGTCATGATCTCACAGTCCATGAGTTCAAGCCCTGCGTCGGGCTCTGTGCTAACAGTTCAGAGCCTAGAGTCTGCTTTGGATTCTGTCTCTCTCTCTCTCTCTCTCTCTCTCTCTGCCCTTCCCCTGCTCATGCTCTGTCTCTCTCTGTCTCAAAAATAAATAAAAACATAAAAAAAATTTTTTTTTCAACATTTATTTATTTTTGGGACAGAGAGAGACAGAGCATGAACGGGGGAGGGGCAGAGACGGAGGGAGACACAGAATCGGAAACAGGCTCCAGGCTCTGAGCCATCAGCCCAGAGCCTGACGCGGGGCTCGAACTCACGGACCGCGAGATCGTGACCTGGCTGAAGTCGGACGCTTAACCGACTGCGCCACCCAGGCGCCCCCCCCCAAAAATTTTTTTTTAAAATAAAGCTGAGGTTTAAGATAACTGGAAAAAAACACATTTATAATCCAAATAATACCTACACAAGTGGGGCTTGAAAATGTCCAGGCACGTGTCAGTATACATCATCTGTACACACACGATGGGAGTTAAGAGAAAAAGAGCAGTATTTCAAATGTGCAAGTCAAAGCAGGAGTAAACATAAGGGCTCCTCTGTGGGAGTGTCAGATTCAGGTGGTACCATGCAGTGTCACTGCTCTGGGCTCCCTTTACAAGACCTACTCCACGGGACACAATTTCCTAGTCTTACAGTCACAGGATCCTCCAGGGGGTTCTCGATTTCAGCCTGTCGCAGGAACACATTCCCCCGGCACACCCGCCAAAGCATGCGCTCAAAAGTAGGGATGCGCTCCCGGTTAATCACACCAGCCACGAAGCTGTGGGGAGAAGAGGCAGATGGGGAACTCGATTCCATGCCACAGGACAGAGGACTTTAAGACAAAGAAGGGAAGCGAGAGGAGAGGGGCACGAACGACAAACACAAGGCTATGCAATGTTACGCCAAAAGGGCTCCCAAAGTCTTATTCCCGGACCCCAGGATAGGGTTGACAGGACAAATCAGGAACTGAATCCAAGTGACTTAGGAACACCTCTCAAGAGGCTCAGAAGAGAACACATCCTGGAAGCAAGTGAACGGGCCAGTCTCACCACTCTTGAACAGCAACAATGAACATGACCGCTGCTCCCCGTCCCCCCCAAAAATGAACTGACCCCACTGACATACGGAGGCTTGCAGTAGTACTTACCCAAGTCTTAACGGTGTGCCCCTTCCCATCTCACTCGGCTCCAAGAGGGACGAGGACTCTTCCAACAAGTCTGGATCCGCCATCTGCTGATGATGCAATTCAGCCTGAATTCACAAATCAATTAATATCTAATGAAAATAGTTAGTGGCATGCAGGGAACGAGGAACCGGGAGATAAGTTCAGAAAATAAAGACGAGGGAAAAAAAAAAAAAAACCACCAAAAGAGAAGACAGCCACAAAAAGAAGACAAGAATAGGGGAAGAAAACAAAGGAAAGAAACAAGAGGTAAAGAAAGCTTTGTAGCCCCAGTAAAGGCATCTGGGGAAATGGTTTTTGAAATAAGGAATAAAGAAAAAACACTAAATAATGATGACATGTATAAATCTGTTACTTAGGTGGAAACCATTTTTCCTCTGTTTCCCTGAATAAGCCATGAAAGTACCAGGAAATACCTTTGCATATGGATGGAAGCTGCAACGTTTCTTCATTTTCAGCAAGACCAAAGCAGCTCTGAAGATACTCTCAACATCAAATTTCCAGGTAGCTACAAACTAAAATTTTCCCTGTGTGAGAATGTGAAAGATGGAGACTCTCTTTCCAAGGAGAAAAGCAAGGCACCGCCACTGTCCTAAGCACAGTGTGGACTGGAGAAAGGCGGAAGGGGCGTCTCCACAAGACTGGGTTTTCCATGCTCTTCAAAATTCAGAACATGAAAACTTTCAGCATGGCCACTGTAAAAAAAATGTTCCAAGCCATGGGCCTTAAAGAGTATTTCTTTCGGGGCGCCCGGGTGGCTCAGTTGGATGAGTGTCCGACTCTTGATTTCAGCTCAAGTCATGATCCCAGAGAGGTGGGATCAAGCTCCGTGTCTTAAGCATACTCATGGAGCCTGCTTAAGATCCTCTCTCTCCCTTTGCCCCTCTCCCCTAGTATTTCTTTCTCCAAAAGAAGCAGCAGCATATTGGCTGGGCAGGCCTGGCCTTGACTGCATCAATAAAGGGAAGAAAAAGTGAAAACCTATCTGAATGCCTTCATTTCTAACCAGGAATCTAGGAATATTAAAAAGTTCATGTTAGGCTATATAGTTTAAGGGTCACTGAGAACATAGCTGAAGCCAGGAATCTAAATCAAGTGAGAAAAAGTAACCAATCATAAGCCAATATAGAACATGTGGGCTAATTTAATTGTTTAGATTTAAAATGATTTCCACCATGACAGTTTATACAATGAAATGAAGGAGGAGAGGGACCTTCTCAGATGGAGGTCTATACTTCCTAGACTCTCTCTACCCACCACATTCTAACACCTTTTATTCTTATCAATCAGGAAGGTCTGAGAAGCTCTCTAAAAAATAAAGGCCAGTCAACTTCTCTACCGCCTGATCTCCTCAACTTTAATATCCACGCGCTACTTGTTTGACCAAAGACAAGAAATATGCCAGAAAAATCTTCCTTTTCAAAAGCAGAACTAAACAAAAAAATCAGGAGAATTTTTCTCTATCATCTTCATTCCAAACATTCTATTCCTGTTAACCCTGCGATCAAAAAATTGATCAAGGGAACCTCACTTGGTAAGTCGTAGGAAATGTAAAGTTAAGGGGGGTGGGGGAGAGCTTTAGGATTGAGTATAAATAAACCTGAATATAAACCAAATGATTAGGTTGAGAACCTAAAAAAGAGAAAGCAATTTTCTGGGGAAGTGAAATCTAAAAGTTGATGCAGGATCAACATTCAACTCCCCACCCCCTTCAAAAAAAAGAAAGAAAAGGTAGGGCAGGCTTTGAGTATGCCAGAGGGCAGAGAAATATTGTCATGATATACGAAAAAGTTTAAGATGAGATAATGGGGGCACAGGTTTCCACTTGCTCTCAAGTGGAAATTTAGGGGGCTTTTTTTGTTTCTGCCTAATATCAGATCAGCTTATTGCAAGCCACAGGCAACTTATTTTAAGGATCTAGATGACTACCTCATTTCAACTGGTTCTTGGGATGTCCCTTGGCAAAAAAACAGTGAAACTGACTGCTACACACAAGACTCCGGCCTACTTCCCTACGCGGTTCACAAGGCTTGGCTAAAGTAAACCCAAAAGATCAGACTCAGTGCAAGCCTATGTGCTCTAAAGGGGACAACCACTCTAACAGCAAAAAGTGCTGAGCAACTAGACTCCTCTGAAAACTGCACCTGGGGACTCTGGGCACAAAAAGAACCCAGCGGAATTAAAATTAAATGGAAACTTGTGATGATATTCTAATTAATAATCTCACCACTTCATACTTAAGAATCCTAAATCTTAGAGAGGGGAGTAAAAAAAAAAAATTTTTTTTAATAAAATAATTGGGCCTCATGGGGAACTAGGAGGACCAGACCGCTCACTGAGGGCCTTTAAAACAATCTCTAAAACCACACTGTGGGGTACCTAAATCCTATTCTGGGCTCCCTAATAACAATAACAACACTGCCAACGTGCCTTTAAATGACTTGCTATGCTCTCTGGTTTACCCTTTCCCCCAGTCGGAACACTGAAACCATGCCCTGAAAGAGAAAGTGGCAGAATTTCTGAGGCTCCCTGTCTACACTGAAATAGAAGTAGCACATCCGGATCCAGCTGCATTAATTACCAAGAGCAAACACTTTTACTTCCATCTCCAGTGAGAGAGAAATCGCATTTCATCACTTCCGGTATTCACCCAAGCCCCAAAGGAGAAGGCAGATGGGAAAGAAAAGTAAAGAAGAGCAGATGGATAGAAGACTCAGGAGGAAAGGAAGGCAGGAACCTGCATGCCATTAACCATTACTTTTCCAGTCTTCTTTACGTTCTCATGGGCTAGGGTGCTTATGGTAAAAGATGCAGAGAGCACTCTTCAGCTCTCACAGTTCTTCATAAGCAAGAAGACTGAGAAAAGGATAATCATTAACAAGTCATTTTAATTGCTCTGGATGAGAAATGGCTAAGTCGAATTTGTAATCATCTTAAATCATAAGAATATTGAATTTACGCTTACTCTTTCCCTTCCAGATGCCTTGCCAATCATGACCGCTATGCCTAAAGATGGAAAGAACCCTTTCCCGATTTGGCCGTTTTCTGCTAACTCATTATTATAAATTATTGATCATGTTCACCAATTATATAAAAAAGAAGGACTCAAAACTGGTTGTATTTTAGGCCGTTTGCAAACTGTGATTTCAGGCATGGAAGAAAATCTCACGCAAAAAGTGCCATTTCTGAGATTTGAGGGTCCCATGTTTCTTTTTCTTTTGCATTATTTAACGTGCGCACTCACATGCCCAGATGCACTTACTCTGTGAGGTCTTATCACCTGCCATGGCAGCGACAGCTGAGACTGGTGCTTGGCAATAGCAGGGCAGGCACCATTGAGAGGGACCTGGCTGAACCTCTGAGCCAGTGGCAGGAGCAGGCAAGGCACTGACCGTGCACTCGGAGAGGAAAGGCCGAGTGGCTCTTGCCAGAAGCCTCCCTACACTACGGTGAGGGTGTAGGAACAAGAGGGGTTGAGGACAAGAGCAGTCAAAGAACCTCTTACAGCCCAGGACTTGGGCTCAAAAGTACTCAGAGATTAAAAAAAAAAAAAGAAAGAAATGTTTTGCAAATGTTTTGCGTGAATAAAGGGAAAACAACCCACCATGGATTGACTGGGCATGAAGGTCGTAAAGACTTCCAGCCTGCCTTCTCAGCATGGGGGTTTCGTGTTTAGACTTATTACTCACAAAGAACTTCTGATTTTAACACTTTGGTTATCTTTCCAAGTAATTTCTCTTATTTTGTTTTAATATTTTGTTTTTAATAACATTAATAGTTCAAGTAACAGGGCACCTCGGTGGCTCAGTTGGTTAAGCGTCCAAATGTTCCTCAGGTCGCAATCTCAAGGTTTGTGAGTTCGAGCCCAGCATCAGGCTCTCTGATGTCAGTGCGGAGCCCGCTTCGGATCCTCTGTCTCCCTCTCTCTGCCCCTCCCCCACTCGTGTGCATGTGCGCACACTCTCTCTCAAAAAAGAAATAAGCATTAAAAAAAAAAAACAGTTCAAGTAACTATTGCTCATAAGGGAGTCCATCTGTCAGTCTTTATTCAGAATTTCTCCAGAATGAACTAGACAAAGAAGCCTATTCTATTCCTTAAACTCAGGAGGTTAAGAAAGACATTGTCATACATTTCAGCAACATCCCAGCAATAAACTAAGACTATATCAAAAGGGAAAGGGGGGGGGGGCAAAAGAATTAAGCCCCAAATGATGTTAAAAGTACCTGAGCTTCGATTCTGAGGCCAGTTTAAATTGGATCTGTGAGAGAGCAGCTTGGACGCATTTAGGAAAGCACACATCTGTGAGTCTATGGAGACACTGTGCCCTGGGATGTTTTCTGATATGACTAAGTGATACATTCCTTGAGCACAGGGGCCATGCCTTACTCATCTTGTGCCTCACGAAGAGTAGGTGCTCACTAAATGCTCAGTGAATTAGTGAATATAAATACACTGATGTTTAGGCAATGAGCAACTAGAATTCCAGATTATCTGTTCATTAAAACCATGAGACATAAGTGGCCATGCCTGTTGCAAAAGACCTGAAACACTTGGAAAGAGTTAATCACACTGTCCCACAACCTCTAATTCGATGAGATATCAGGGACTGGTGAAAGAAGTCCTCATCAGTCTCAAAATTCTCAACTCAGTGAGCAAGCCGAATATTCACACCAAACCTCTCTTGACATATAGCCAGATTCTGATTCTTGGGATGACCAGGCAATTAAGTTCATATGAGCTTTTTCCCCTTTCCCCAATAGATTTTTTTTAATTAGCATGGCTTCTCTGAGTCCATCTTCAGTTATTGAGGAATGTAGCACATCTTCGGCTGACGTTCTCCAGCCCAGGGGTTCACAAACCACTGTCCCTCAGAGTCACCTTGTGAAAACAGACTGCTCGGCCCCACCCTCAGAGTTTCTAATTCACAAAGTCTGAAATCTGGAGTGGGGACTAATGATGTGCATCCTGACAAGTTCCCAGGTGAGGCTCATGCTGCTGGTTAGAGAGCCCCTGCTCCAGTCCTTAAAAGACCGATATTAAAAATGGAACTGAGAATACATCAGATGCTAACTAAAATGGACCCTCTTTTTTTAAAAAGCTTGGCCAATTTTTTTGTTGTTGTTGAGCAAAGAATATAAAGAACTTTATGGAAGGCACACTAAAGAGTCGCTGGAACAGTAGCAGAAGTGTCTGATATTGCTAATCTGGTGGCAAAGACACCTTACTGTAAAAAAAGAGAATTCTCGATACCTTAGGCCATCGACAAAGCCAAGTCCAGGCTCAAAGCTAAGACTCCTCTCCACGTTTAATGAGGAGAAGGAATCCTTCTCAAAGTCTTGCTCTAAAGCCTTTCTGTGGGCTCACCTCAGCAAACTGTCATCTGTCATCATCACCTACATTTTTAACCTAGAAACTGACTTAACATTTTTCCCTATAAGGTAGTGTGACTGAGTTTCCATGAAAATCCGGGAATTTCAAAATAGGCATCCTACCAGTTCTATTTCCATAGAACATAACGAGAAACTCTTGAAAAATTAAAGTGTGACTTGTGCTATGTGGATTGTTACAAATGTACTCATGGTAGATAAGCAAACATGGAGAATAAGATAAAAATAAAAATTTGATGATAAAAGTTTTGGAGGTTAAGCCTTTGTTATAATTTCATGTATGACTGAATGTTTCTTGTTGCTTCAACTTTTACCTTAAGCATTTACTTACCTCAAAATATAATGACAAAATTTCAACTATAATATATACAACTACTTTCGGGTTCCTTTCCCCATCTTGTGATGAAAAATTGCAGAAAATGCAAAAGCATACAAAACCATGACTGGCTGTGTACTGCATGAGAAATGGAACATAATCTGACATTCCTTCAACTAAAACAGTGCGAAAATGGTATTGCTTTCAAACTAGCAAATTAAAATAATTTTTGGAATAACAGCATGGCCCACTTGTGCAGGTATAATATCAGCTGCTCAAATACTAAAAGAAACAATAGTCTGACCTCATCGAAAAACTGCTGAGTTTTGCGAAGTATAAATTTTAATTCAGTCAGTTCCAGGAAGTTTCTCTTCAGAGCTTCCTGGTTTGTGTTGATTTCCTTCAGTTCATTTTCAATCTTTTCAAAATTGGCCTACAGAAAAAATAAGTAAATAAATAAATAAAATCAAACTATTAACTCAAACTAAGCTCAATATGCTTGATGTGAAAGATGGATGAATTCATCCATCCCACAGAACTCTTGGCCACCCTGATGGTTCAAACATAATTTTATATCTACCCAGCAAATGTGTGATTTTACCAGGGCAATTTTCTTTATGAAATTTTTTTGCTTAACATCATCTGTCTTTATAGGTTCTATTACACAGTTGAATTTCTCAGGGGACTCTGGATGGAAAAAAATAAATACTGAAAACTCTACTGGTTATTCATTTAGTCTATGAGATGAATAAATTACTAGATAAGTTGGTGTTAATCCAATAAGGTTTTGATAAGGCAGTAAACATTTATTTGGTGGCATGTGATACTGTTCAAGATAGTGCTCTATAGTAAGTTTTCACAAGATATTTACAAGCAAGAGACAATGTGGACAAGGACAGCAAGAATTCCTCTACTGTCCACCCACACAGGAAAATAATTTCTGCACTTAAGTAGAAAGAAACTTCAGGCTTCCTCAGAAGAATTGTTTACCTCTAAGTCAATCATGTCCCGGGGGAAGGGCACCTCTGGGTTTTCACCAGTGTCCATAATTGGGATATTAGCTTTTCTTATTTCTTTCTCAACAAATCCTAAAATGACAGAAGCAAAATATTCACGTATAGCATAGGCCTGGAATTGCCAGTATTTGAGAAAAAAAATAAGACCCCAAACCTGGCTAAAAAGAGTTTCATTCCCAGAAAGATACTCTCATATAAAAGAAGCAGAACATGTAAATCCTTTTTTTCTCCACGTTCCTCTTCCTCCACTGCACACTCTATAACAACCGCAGCTACCCCAGAGAGGATCATCATCCCCCTACTGTCTTCCTTTCCTCTTTTGATCTTAAAACTGGACCTCATCTGCTTCAGTTCTCCACCCTGTGCAACTACTGCCCCAGAGTATGATGGTTCTGCTTGTAGATACTGTTGTAGGACAGAGTTACAGAACAGGGTGATTCAATAGAATATTTGACATTTAGCAAACTCGTGAGACAACTCCAGATCAAAAGGGTTTCATTAAACTTGAAAAACAAGGGGCGCCTGGGTGGCGCAGTCGGTTAAGTGTCCGACTTCAGCCAGGTCACGATCTCGCGGTCCGTGAGTTCGAGCCCTGCGTCAGGCTCTGGGCTGATGGCTCAGAGCCTGGAGCCTGTTTCTGATTCTGTGTCTCCCTCTCTCTCTCTGCCCCTCCCCCGTTCATGCTCTGTCTCTCTCTGTCCCAAAAAAATAAATAAACGTTAAAAAAAAAAAAATTAAAAATAAATAAATAAATAAATAAATAAATAATAAAAAAATAAACTTGAAAAACAATCAGATCAGTTTTAACAACACAAAAACCCAAAAAGCACGACACGGAATAAGGTCCCAAAATACCAGAAGAGAAAAGTGACAACTAGTAACTTTTTTAGCGCAGGGACCAAATTCACCAATCAGCTAACTAAAAGCTGGCATAGTATAGTAGTGAGATCACGGGTTTCAGAGCCAGAGAGAACAACCTGGATTCAAATACTGGTTCCAGTACAGCTGCTTATGTTCCCGGGCAAGTCACTTAACCTCTCTGATCTTTGGTTTCCCCGTTTATTTATTTATTTAATACTTATTTTTTAAGTAATCTCTACACCCCATGTGGGGCTCAAACTCACCACCCTGAGATCAAGAGTCAGATGCTCTACTGACTGAGCCAACCAGGCATCCTGGCTTCCTAATTTATTAAATGAGGTAATACCCAACTGAAGGAATATTGTGAGGAATGAATGACATAAAGTTTATGTACTCCCCAACTCTCAACAGTACCCTAATAAATGTGTTAGTTTCTTCCTTCATAAAAAGCTCAAATTAAAAGGTGGTCATATTGATATCTAAAATAGATGGTGGGCGCCTGGGTGGCTCAGTCGGTGGGATGTGCGACTCCTGATCTCAGGGTTGTGGGTTTAAGCCCACACTGCTTAAAAATAAAATCTTTAAAAATTATAATAAATAAATAATATTTTTAAATTAAAAACATATACAATAAAATAAAAATAAAATAAAAATAGTGGTCTGAGTCCTGTCTCTCAGAATTCTATAATGCAATAGTTATAGCAGTAGCTGTAAAACCCTTCCCATAAAAAATAACCAATGTGTTCAGCTTGCAATCTTGTCATCTCAAAGTTTCCATTAAACACCACCTAGCCCTAATACCATAAAATCTACTTGTACGTGAGAAATTCATCTTACTATCAAGATCCCAAGACTATTCCTCCTTTCTTTTTCTCCTGTAGTATTTTCTCATTTTGTTAAGAGGACTAGCATCTCTAATTTAAGACAAATGACTCATTATAGCAACATCATACAGGACCAAAATGCACATACGAAGCTTTCGATCCATTTCTTCACATCTTCTAACTTCATTCACAAATTTCCGCTGGAAAACATTCACATCTGGATTTAACTGCAAAATAAGAACACAATACCAAATATTTAAAACAATTTTTTTTAAGGTTTATTTATCTTTGAGAGAGAGAGAGAGCGCGCGCACACACACATGCACGCTAGCGGGGGAGGGGCAGAGAGAGAGGGAGACACAATCTGAAGAAGGCTTCAGGCTCTGAGCTGTCAGCACAGAGCCAAATGTGGGGCTCAAACTCACAAACTGTGAGATCATGCCCTGAGCCTAAGTGGGACACTTAACCAACTGCGCTACCCAGGTGCTCCCCAAATATTTAAATACTGCATCTATTTCCTCTGTGTCACAAGCAACACATTCTGCAAAGTGAAACCTAATTTTGTGTCAGTGTATGATGCAATCATACGATGCAAAAATGGTCTACTGTCCTATATAACCTGCTTCAGGGCCAATCACACCAACTGAAGATAAAAACCCCTCTCTCACTGTGGCACCACATTATTGGAATGGAGGCAAATTAGACAAAGCACCAAGGTACAAGATGGTCCTCCCAGGCCAAAGTCTCAGTGAGCTCCCCCAGCCAAAAACTTGAGCAATGATGTATACCAGGAGCTCTGCCCAGTTTTCCTTCTCTTCCTCCCAATCAGAAGAGACAAAAGGCAAACATCTTTTATTCTTCTGTCCCAGGATCTTCACTTCCTACCAGACAGGCTGGTTTATTCATTCATACATCACAAGTAATTTTCAAAGCAATGTGACAGATATTCTAGGAAATACAAACAAGGTCCTACTTACTAAGAAGCCTGAAATCTAGTAAAGAAAAAAAATACACACAACCAACAAGAGCATGTGATAAATTCCATAAAAGTAATACCAATAAAGAACTATAGCTACTCACTCAACATTTATGGAGCACCATATATACACTACTGTATTAGGTACTGTTATAAGTACAAAAGGATATGTCCAAGCTTTGAGGAGCTATCAGATCCATGGACGAGACAGACACAAACTAATAAATGCAATTTGTTGTGATAAATGCTACTTTAAAAAAGTAAATATTGTTGTCAGTTTCTTATACAATTAAACATATCCCTAGGTACATCACAACTAAGCATTCCACTACTAGATATTTGTTTAAGAGAAATGAAAACATGTCTACAGAGACTCGTACAAGAATGTTTACAGCATGGCACAAGAACAGACACTCAGATCAATGGAACAGAATAACCCAGAAATGGACCCACAACGTATGGCCAACCAATCTTTGACAAAGCAGGAAAGAATATCCGATTGAAGACAGCATCTTCACCAAGTGGTGCTGGGAAAACTGGACAGCAACATGCAGAAGAATGAACCTGGGCCACTTTCTTACACAATACACAAAAATAAACTCAAAATGGATGAAAGACCTAAATGTAAGACAGGAAGCCATCAAAATCCTTGAGGAGAAAGCAGGCAAAAATCTCTTTCATCTTGGCTGCAGAAACTTCTTATTCAACATGTCTCTGGAGGTAAGGGAAACAAAAAGCAAAAATGAACTACTGGGACCTCATCAAAATAAAAAGGTCCTGCACAGCGAAGGAAACAATCAGCAAAACTAAAAGGCAACCGACAGAATGGGAGAAGACATTTGCAAATGACGTATCAGATAAAAGATTAGTCTCCAAAATCTATAAAGAAGTTATCAAACTCAACACCCAAAAAACACATAATCCAGTGAGGAAATGGGCAAAAGACATGAATAGACATTTCTCCAAAGAAGACATCCAGATGGTCAAACAACACATGAAAAAATGCTCAACATCACTCATCATCAGGGACATACAAATCAAAACCATCATGAGATACCACCTCACACCTATCAGAATGACTAACATTAACAACTCAGGCAACAGCAGATGTTGGCAAGGATGCAGAGAAAGAGGATGTCTTTTGCATTGTTGGTGGGAATGCAAACTGGTGCAGCCACTCTGGAAAACAGTATGGAGGTTCCTCAAAAAATTAAAAATAGAACTACCCTACGACCCAGCAATTGCACTACTAGGTATTTATCCAAGGGATACAGGTGTGCTGTTTCGAAGAGACACATGCACCCCCATGTTTATAGCAGCACTATCAACAATAGCCAAAGTATGGAAAGAGCCCAAACGTCCATCGATGGATGAATGGATAAAGAAGAGGTGGTATGTATGTACAATGGAGTATTACTCGGCAATCAAAAAGAATGAAATCTTGCCATTTGCAACTACGTGGATGGACCTGGAGGGTATTATGCTAAGTGAAATTAGTCAGAGAAAGACAAGTATCATATGACTTCACTCATATCAGGACTTTAAGAGACAAAACAGATGAACATAAGGGAAGGGATACAAAAATAATATAAAAACAGGGAGGGAGATGAAACATAAGAAACTCATAAATATGGAGAACAAACAGGATTACTGGAGGGGTTGTGTGAGGGGGGATAGGCTAAATGGGTAAGGGGCATTAAGGAATCTACTCCTGAAATCATTGTTGCACTATATGTTAACTAATTTGTATGTAAATTAAAAAAAAAAAAAAAGAATGTTTACAGCAGCTTTATTTATAATAGTCCTAAATGGCAATGTTCCAAATATCCAACAACAGGACAACAGATGAAGACATTGTGGTGTATCGGAATAGTACTCAGCAATAAAAAAAGAAGCAACTACAGACATACATAAAAACAGATAAATCTCTTGGGATGCCTGGGTGGCTCAGTTGGTTAAGTGTCCGACTTCGGCTCAAGTCATGATCTCGCAGTTCGTGAGCTCTAGCCCCACGTCAGGCTCTGTGCTGATGGCTTGGAGCCTGGAGCCTGCTTTGGATGCTGTGTCTCCCTCTCTCTGCCCCTCCCCACCAGTGCTCTATCTCTCAAAAATAAATTTAAAAAACATTTTAAAAAATGAAAAAAAACAGATAAATCTCAACATTAGGTTGAGTGAACGAAGTCAGACATAAGACTTTGCAATGTATGATTCCATTTACATAAAGTTCAAAACTAATCTATGATTGTAGAAATCAAAACAGAGGTTACCTACAGGGGGTGGAGAATGACCAGAAGCAGGCACATAAGATATCTTTCTGGGATGATGGAAATATTCTATATCTTGACTGGAGTAGTAGTTGCAAAGGTATAAAAATTTACCAAAATCATCAAATTGTACTCTTAAGCTCTATGCATTTCACTGAATATAAATTTTACATCCATAAAAAAAGTGGGAGAAAGAAAGAAAAAGAAAAGAATAAAAGAAAGAAAGAAATGAACATATGTAGGAGTAACTATGAGAAAATATGAGAAAATAAGTGGAATAAATGTACAAAGGAAACACCAGAGCTGGGACTTTGGGAGATACGACAGAATTCACCAAGCAGAAATAGGCAGAATGAAGCAGAAAGACTTTGACAAGTGACTCAGAGACATAAAAAAAAAAAAAAAAAAAAAAAAAAAAAAAAAAAAAAAATCACATATTCAGAGAAGGGGAAAAATTATTCCACAGGCAGAATGGAATCAAATAATCTGATTTTTTAAAAATACTTCTTAAAAATTTAGTTTTTTGAAGACTAATACTGTGCATGAAGAATAAATTGTAAGAGAGACAGACTGATGATAGAGGAACTATTAAGGACATTATTTGTATTATTATATTAACATTAGACAGAGGAAATCTAAGGCAAAAAACATTAGTAGAGTATGAGAATCATTACAAAATGGTAATAAGAACAATTCCCAGGAAGATGCAATAATCCTAAACTTAGATATTTCTAATAAAACTTTTTTTTCACTGAGCAGGCAGTATCTTGGCCTTTCGTTCAGAAATTTCTACTTCAATAAATATGACACTGAAGTTAAAGTAGCCACAAGACTGATAACTTTACTGGTTTCATTATCTGGAGGCAAAGTTCAACGGCAGCCAGTTTCAGGTAAGGCACCCCAAAACATATGGGCAAGGAAGGCATTCTCAAAATATTTCCAACAGAAATTAATAGAACCACAAGGAGACACTGACAAATCTATGTATAGGAAATTTTAAATACAATTTTAAATTATTGATATATTAAGTCAACCAAATATATACATATATTTTAATTTGAGAGACAAAGCACTAGCAGGAGAGAAAGAGGCAGAGGGAGAGAGACAGAATCTTAAGCAGGCTCTATGCTGGCTGAGGAGCCTGACCTGGGGCTCGAGCCCACCACCCTGGGATCATGACCTGAACCAAAACCAAGAGTCAGACGCTTAACCAACTGAGCCACCCAGGTGCCTTAAGTCTACCAAATATTAATAAGGATAGAGAAAATGTGAACAACCTAATAAATGAGTTTAATCTAATATATATATATATATATACACACACACACATATGTATATATGTATATACATATATATGTATAATATATGCGTGTATATATATATTTAGAAAGAGACATATTTTTTTTATCCCAGCATTCAAAGTTCTCTCTTTTTTAAAAAGTGTATTTATTTTGAGAGAGAGAGAGAGAGAGAAAGAGAGAGAGACAGTGGGGGAGGGGCAGAGAAAGAGGGAGAGAGAGAATCCCAAGCAAGCTCTGCATTCTCAGCACAGGGCCCAACTCCGGATCAGTCTCACAAACTGTGAGATCATGATCTGAGCCAAGATCAAGAGTCAGACGCTTAACCGACAGCCACCCAGGCACCTCTACAGTTCTCTTTTTAAGAACTCAAAGAATTCATTATGAAGGGGTGCCTGAGTGGCTCAATGGGTTAAGTGTCCAATTCTTGGTTTTGGCTCAGGTCATGATCTCACGGTTCATGAGTTTGAGCCCTGCACAGAGGTCAGTGCTGACAGTGCAGAACCTGCTTGGGATTCTTTCTCTCTCTCTCTCCCCCCCCCCCCACCCCCCCATGCTTGCTCTCACACTCTCTCAAAATAAATAAACTTAAAAAAAAAAAAAGAATTCTTTATGAAAATTGACCACAAAATAGGTCATACAGCAAATCTCAGTAAAGAATTGATATTGGGGTACCTGGGTGGTTCAGT